TTGCCAACGTAGAAGTTTAGCTTAGCAGTAGCAAAAGCCTTCAGTTAGGTTCAGTAGCAGGAAGTTCTAATAGCTTCAATGGTGTCACTGTAGCACCATGAGCCTTTAAATTACATTTTGTTCCACAACAATCAGTTGGCAGAATAGAAAATGCACTTTTCTCATTTATTGGAAAGATACAGAGTTATTAGTTTTTTTTGAGCAAATACAGCTATCAGTTTTAGGTGCTATTAACGTGTCTATGTGTTCTTCCTGTCTGTATTTAATAATAGGAGCTGCTAAAAGATTTTATTATGTTAGCTGTTTATTTTACTTTGATGAACTGGAGAACAGGCACACATAAAATTGTAATGTATCAAATGTATCTCTCTCTTCATTTGCTCTCCTTTTCCTCTTTTCCCCTTTTTTTCTCATTTTCATCTTTTTTTTTTTTCTTCCTCATAACAAATTTCCTGGTAGCATTTAGATATCTTTTACATTTATATTTAGTAAATACAACTCCCCCCCAAACAAACAGAATCTAAAATTATAGACCTTTTAACAGAAATATTGAAAAAGCTGAATTTATCAACATAATATTGTAACTATAAATGTATTTAGTAATTATTGTGTGTAAACTGCTCATTTGCATGGTTCAGTTTCAAATAAAGCAGAAAACTGTTTGCAAATGAACATATGCAATGTAAAGGCTAACAACAATTTTTGGTAACTCCACTAAAAAAAGGTGTGGCCATGTTCTAATTTCAGTTCACTGAAAGGAAGTAGTTGAAACAAAGCAGCAAAGGATATGTCAACTTTAGATTGTGTAGTGTTACCCAAATCTTCGTTCGCGAAGCCTAGCCATGAGCGAATGAATGAAAGTGTACTTGTCCTCTCACAAATTACAGCAAAATCAAAGACCTAAGAGTTTACAGGAATAAGTAATACTAAAAAAGATACGTTGATATAATTTAAGGTTAACATGATCTTGTTTTTACCTGCAGTTTAGAGCAGAACTCAATCTTCTCCAGTAAAATAGGATTTGATCCGAAGTATGCAGTGGTGACAATAGTCATTGATTCTTGCTGGGAACAAAAATTCTCAGACATAATATATGCTTGGTAAAATTGTATTTTATCAATCAGAGTGAGACTTTGCATACAGACTGTTTACAATGTGGTAGAGGTTGATAATTAGGCAGGGTGCTTCCTGAGAAGCTGTGCTCTCCTCGCTTGGGGTTCAGCAGGCAGATCCTGAATAAGCTGAAATTCATCCTGGAAGGTGTGAGATCTCTGGAAGCATGGAGCCTTCCTCACTCTTTCGGGGCCTTCGAGAAGATAGACCACTATTAAATACTTTAGGGAGAGGCTTAGTTTCTCTGAAATTTCCATTTGGTTCTGGAAACTTGGCCTTCATTATTTTGCAGTTTAAGTTCTTTTGACTTAAGTGGATATTTTGAGAGCACGCAGACTGTAACACTCATCCCTTCAGAAAATATGGATTCTCTGAAACAGTGTTTTCACTTTCAACCCTAAGGGCTGAGTTGTCTGACGTATTTTGCTTCTTGGAAAATTACATTCTGTATTTTTAAAATGTAGTGGCATAGAGGGAAGGTCTCTATGCATTGTGTTGTTGCATTGTACATGTGCTGAATATGCACGCAGGACATGGAAATATTCGCTACTGGTAGAGAGGTGAAGTAATTTGTCCTTTGAGAGATTAACTGGTAAGCATTACAACTGTCTGCTGGATGTGGCTTCCACAGCAAGTAGTAATTTCAAGCAGATGAAGTGAGGTCTGTAGTGAACAGTTCAGGAAGAGAATAAAAATAAGGATGAGAGCGTAAGTGGGTCTTGTCACTGACAGAGAAGAAATGTAAAATAGGAGGTGAAAAGGGTGACCACTGTGTTCCTTCAAGGAGTATGCCTTCACAGTTTCCCCATGAGATATGTGTATTACAGTAAGTAAGGGATTTTCAGGCAAGGACTTTTAAGAAAGAAGATTCATGGATACAAAAGAAGTAGATTTTTAATTTCTCAGTATTGCCTTTGAGGGAAAGAAGAATGGAATACTCTGCTTCAGATTGAAGCAGATTGATATATTTCACTTGATCAAACTGAATTCTAAGTATATTTGAGGTTAAGTAAATACTAGTTTATAACAATTTATAGCACAGCAACCAGTGTAGCGTATTTCGGATGGAAGGCTCCCATTCTTTATTCTAAGGTTCCTGGTTCAGTTAAAACCAGTGAGTTTCCCCTGTAATTTAATTACTTATCCTGAATTTTAAGAATGTTATTGCAACAGTGATTTATGACAGAAGCAGTGCAGCCAAAACAATGCTAGGATGAGCCAGTGGACCTCCAGTTCTTGGGAAGAAGTATAATGAGTAAATAACAAACAAGATCTCAGTGATTATCTAAAATGTGTATTTTGTCAAATTGGACTGCCAAATTTCAATTCCAGTTCAGTGTCAGTTTCATTGATAGGATGAAACCACAGAATGTGCATCTGATGTTTAGATATAAATTTTATTTGCTTATACTGATATCTGAAAAGAACTTTGTCCAAACTTCTAATAATAAAAATGACAATAAATTATATCAGCACATTGTATAGCAACAAGATGATGTAAATATTATTTGCAATAGAAATCAATTTCAGACAAAAAAATCTAGGTGGAAGAAAAATGGTCACAAGCTATATAACATACCATCTCCATTGTGGTAATATGATAAAGTAAATTTATTTTTGTCTATGTGTTTGTGAGCTGTTTTGAGCTTAACACACAATGTAATTTAATTTATGCCTTTTGATTTATATTTTGGGAAAAGCCCAAGCAATCCATGGAGGTTTCTATGTTAAATGATGTTAATCTATGTTTGATTACTATGAAGTAAATCTAGAGGGTACTGTAGTCATACTCTTACATACTCTTACCTGTCAAGACAGGTTGTGGTTCACTGGATCCACAGATATGGAATGAGATACTCAGATGAACTGATCCATGTGTAAAAGTCTGTAGGAATGACTATAACACTGTGGTGAGCAGCAGTAGTGCTGGAAACACCAGTCCTCAAGTTCTGAGTCAGTTCAGTCTCAGGCATCTCCTACTAATTTGTCATTGTGTGTTAAATTCTTGTTTTCTCAGCTTTTATCTCTGAAACCAGAGAAAAAAATAAGATTACCTTGCGCAAGTTCTTTAGAGCATGTTATAGCAATGAACTCGTTAATGAAGTAGCATAAAAGAAATAAAACCAGCATAAGTTAAGGGTTAAGTTAGAGATATATTGAAAAAGAAATGCAACAGTACAATATTTAGATTTCTTCTGGCAAAAATATCTAAACCAGAGAACTGAGCCTTGGGGTGTAATTAGGTTGCTGCCACAGAGATGCACATTGATTGCTGAAGTTCATGCTGAACTGTGAACAAAGATGTGTTAAATGAAAAGGCACATAAGATTAGGGAGGTATTGAAGAAATAGAATCATCCTAATTTTAAGGAGTAGAAGCAAAACTGCTCCCTTAAACAGGCTTTCAAAAGGGAGATGACACATAAAGCTGCCCATCAGAATCCTCTGAGGACGGTAATGACTACTGACAATGTGTTTGCAGCAACTTAGTAGCAAGGTCTGAGAAAGGTCCTAATACGCTTTTCAGAAAAGCATAGACAGAGCCAAATAATAACTTTCATAATGGTTAAGGAGAGTAATATAACTCTAGTAAAATAGCAACAAGAACAGCTATTCTCTGTGGAGTCTTGAAGTCCCTACTGTGCAGATCCTTGCTTTCCCAAGTGGTTTGTGACCTACAGCAGCACCCAGCCTTCTTAAATAGCGGCAGCAGCAGCTGCTCCACACAAATCCCAGATCCTCAATTTGTAGCAGCCGAGATGTCTCTAGGACAGTGTTTATCAATGATGTCTTTCTTTTGTGATGTTACAGTACTGGTTCAAATATAATAAAGTCCAGAGGGGTCTCTTTTCTCTGAGATATCCTCAGTTATAAATCTTTAGCACGAATACTTGCTATCTGAAAAGTTGTGTCTTAATTACCGAATATTCACATTGTGCTTACAGTAATTATTTCTTTACAAAGTGAAGAACTGAATATATGTGAACTAAGCATAGTAATTCTTGACACCAGCAGTGAGTGTCCTCGTTTCACTTGCTAGTTTTCTTACTAGCTTCCAAGGAACAGTACCATTCAACCTGAGTGTATAAAGGCTCTAGACACTTTTTAGCCACTGTGGTCTCAATCTTCACCGAGTACTCAATGCACAGACACATAGAGTAAAAAATTTGGGTGGGCCAGGGTGGCAGGAGCAGGCACCCCTAATATTGCGAATTTATGTTTGCAAAGCACTTTGCAGGCAAACTCCAGCTCATCTCAGCTTGGGTGTGCTCACACAGTCTCTGCCTATCTCAAAGTACATCTGGATCTTCAGCCCAACATCTTGGAAATATGGACAGCCTCAGAGAGAGCTTCCTCACATCCGCCTGCAAAACGCAGTACAGATCAACTTGAAATGAATTCTATTTAAAACCTCATTAAGAGATCAGGTTTAGTAGGTAACACAGCATATGCATTTATAGTGAAAGAGTAAAGGAGTTAAATCTTGAGGCAAGACAGGAGTCAAGAAGCAGATAAAATGACAGGGTGGCACAGTGGATCACCGTGATAACTGTGATTATTATAGCTTGTTATTACAGATCATAATAGAGAGACACAGCATGCTATTTTCTTAGACCTCTTCTTTATAAGGCAGGAGGGAGTAGATTATGTGCCACTTAACAGTGCCACATCCTTGTATCCACCAGCAGCCGTAGGGATTAAATCTGTAATTTCTGAGACTTCATCAATGTGCTTCTACTGTTCTTCTGTGCTAAAGATGCTGGCTATCTGTATTAAGGTAATCTACATCATGACCATATGAGTCATCCGATAAATCATATGAATAACATGTTTAAAGCTAGTAAAATTTTCTTTCAAAAATGACTTTTTTTCCCCTTTTTTTTTAAGTGTTTCTCTGATAATAAGCCCTAAACTCTGATACCCATGGATGCTGCAGAATTCCGCAAGAGAGGGAAGGAGATGGTGGACTATGTTGCAGATTACCTGGAGAAGATAGATAAAAGACAGGTCTTCCCAGATGTGGAACCAGGATACCTAAGGCCCCTCATCGCAGACTGTGCACCCCAGGAGCCTGAGAGCTTCGAGGATATCTTTAAAGACATTGAGAAGATCATTATGCCAGGGGTAAGAAAAATGGATCTGTAGTGTAATGTTCAATACTGCATTTAGGTTTTCAAAGACTTTAAAGAAAGCATGGGTTGAAGGCTGTGCAGCTAGACCTTACCAACATAAGTACCCACACTATTAAACTTTTAGAAGGCAGGAGCCTTTACATGTTAAATATGATCTCACACTTTACACAACTAATGTTTTCTGTTCTTCCTAGAAATAATCGAATAATTCTTTTGCTTCAAGCAAGGCTTACTTTTGGAAATAATCCCCTTTCCTCCCTTGAATTGGTTAAGGCAAAGCTTCATAACTTTCAATTTCATGTGATATTTTTTCTACCCTCATAGCACAGTAAATATTTTACAAAATGGTAATTTTATTAGTCTGCTGTGCCTAAAGTGTTCTTTCAAGCTGATCTTTAAATGTTAAAATTCTCTTAGGAGACTTCTTTCTATTACAGAGTTGACTAGAAAGGATTCTCCCCAATACTTGTTCTGTTGACTTGTGCTCTTTGTGCTCTAAATGTCAGCTTCTTCTAGTACCTAAAGGCAGATGGCCACTTCCTAAATATTAGTCCTTGGATAGATCAGTGTTGGACAACAATGCAGAACAAAGCATCTGGCATTTGTCCTGATCTGAATCTTTGTTGTTTTTCCATTCATGGTATACCTTTTTTATTTTAAATATATGCTTGTCTCCTAAGATCTCTAAGTAGCTGGAAGAGGACTGAATTATAAGTAAATGTTAATGAGGAATCTGTCCTTTGGATCTCTGCAATAACTACCTTAGGTTACTTCTCTAGATGTAGCTGGTGATACGATTGTGATGTAAGTGGACATCGCAATCTCCAAATGTGGTTAGTCAGTGTACTATAATACCAATTCCTTTTCATTGACCAATGTAAATATTTGATATTCAAGAGGACTTTATCTTGTTTCCCTTGGAGCCAGCCCTGCTGTCCTTTAGCAGGCAAAAGCTTCACTGAAGTCAATTGAAATCTCTCCACTCTTTTCCAAGGTTTGTGGATGAAGTCTTAAATCCAACAGAGTTAAATCAGTGCAGATTAGATAAGAGAATTATGTCCAACACATACAAATACTTTAATTGCTGCTCATAGACATGATTGTCTTTTCTTTTTAATTGGAGGAAAATGGTAATGATTGTGAATTAGAACAGAAAACACTTTGCTTTGAGCACTTAAGAACATTCAATAAAATAATGCCAGATTAAAAAAATAAGAGATGAATCATTTGAGAATAGAAAGCGAGACATTGAATTCCAATTATGTCATCAATATGTCATGTTCCCTCTTAACTAAATGGATTTTTTTCTTGATATTTACATGCCCTGCAAAGAAGTTTCCTTTTACAAAATGATACATTCTGAAGAAGAAATGTTCTAACCAAAATCTTTCCACTGCTGTGAAATGTTAGTGTTAGTGACACAAAGAGCACAAGTACAAAAATCCCATTTCTTATAGTAACTCTGATTCTGCCTGTGTTGTTTATACTAAATTCTGAAGACTCACGTGAGCACAGAATCATGAGATCATAGTATAGTAGTGATTGGATGGTACCTCTGGAGATCATTTAGCCCACCCCCACTGCTCAAGGCTGAGTCAGTTAGAGCGAATTGTTTAGGACTATCTATGTCCAGTTGGTCATGGAATATCTCTAAGGATGAACTCTTTGCAATCTGTTGTCCGATTCCAAGGTTGGAACTGTCTCACAGTAAAAAAGCTTTTGCTTATGTTTAAGTAGAATTTTCTGTATTTCCATTTGTATACATTTCTTGTTGTCTTGTCACTGGATACTGCTGAGAAGAATCTGACTTCACCTTCTTTACACCCTCCCATGAGGTAAAGAAGGTTAACACATTACCAAGATACCCCCTGAGCTTCCTGCAAGCTGAACAATCCCAGCTGCAATTAATCATCTCCATGGCCTTTCACTGGAATCACTCCAATATGACCACGTCTTTCTTTCTTGTCCTGAAGAACCCAGAGCTGGACACAGCATTCCAGGTGTGGCCTTACTAGTGCTGCAAAGAAAAGAAGGATTACCTCTTTTAACCTGTTGGCAACAATTTTCCTAATGTGGTACAACAATGCTGCTGGCATTGTTTGCTGCAAGGGCACATTGCTGGCTTATGTTTAGCTTGTCCACCAGGATGCCCTGGCCCATTTCTTCAGAGTTGCTTGCCAGCCCTGGCATATGCTGGTGCAGGAGGTTATTCCTCCCCTGGTATGGGATTTTGCATTTCTCTGTAGAACTTTATGGGATTCCTGTTGGCCCATTTCTGCAGCCTGTTAGTGTCCCTTTGAATTGCAGCATGACCATACCGTATATTAAACACTCCTCCCAGTTTTATGTCATCTGCAACACTGCTGAGGGTGCACTCTATCACATCATCCTGGTCTTTAATGAAGATGTTAAACAATACTAGCCTTTCCCATTCACAAAGCTTTGCTGCCTAGCCCAAATAACCTTCTTGTCCCATGTTTGGAAATAGCTTAAAGGTTCTTTCATTTTCCCTGAGATTGAGGTGAGGCCTGTAGTTTCAAAGATCATTCTTTTAGCCCTTCTTGAAGATAGGAGTGACATTTGGTTTTTTTCCAGTCTTTTGGAACGTTCCCCAGTTGTTGTAACCTTACAAAGATGTTTGAGAGAGGTCTCAGTGACACCCTTTAGCTCCTGCAGCACTTGTGAGTGCATCCCATTAAGCTTCATGGACTTATGTATATCCAGTTTATTTAAATGTGTCCTAACTTGATCCTTCTCCAGGTAAGGTCTTCCTTGCTCAAGTCTTTTCCCATGCATTTCAGGAGCCTGGGATTCCTGATTGGATGATTGCAAATGTGAAAATGGTGTTTCTTCAGAGGAGCAATGATCAATTAATAGTGTGAAGCAATTATGCAGTATCCATTGCTGTCTTTACCCTATAGGAGAACAAGCATTCATAAGTGGTGAAACTTCTTTATGGAGACTTATTGTGAAATGTAATGTAGACCTCCAAAGGGCAGTCCACCAAATGATGATGACAATAATGGTGCTAAATTCCTGGTATTTACACAGGGACAGAGGGAACAACCAGTGAACTCTGATCTCCACAGCAGGAAGGCAACATGGAAAGGATCTGCCTGTAAAAATATCAATGGGAGTCACTTTCCTCCCTCAGATTTGCTTTGTTCTTTTAAAATGTATCTCCTCCTTTTTCAGAGCCAAAGATGAGTGTAGTTGTAACTGCAAATATCAGTACTGAATATGCTACTTTTCCTCACATTGGATCTCTTAATGTATGAACTTTCAGCTGAAGTACCTATCTTTAGTGTGTGGTAAGGGAAGACTGTTTCTTAGACTAAGGAAGCCAGAGAAAGACATCCTTAGAAGAAATACTGGAAATCACATGTATCTGAGAAGCATTAGAGTGGTAATTAAAGTGAACCCAAGACACTTGTGTATCATTATTTATCAGCAGCAGGCTGAAAAAACAAGCATCAGTTATGCTATCTTTGCAATATTTGACTAAGTGTGTCTGTTCCAACATGGTGAAAAAAAAGAATTTTACAGCTGCTTCAAGAGGAGGGGGAAGGGGAGGCAGGAGGAAGAACCGCAGCTGCACTTGCCCAAGGGCTTTTAGCTTTTTTGCTTTATGTGAGTAGTGCAACTGAAATCTGCTGTGTTTCATCAAATAAATGGCTCCCAGCAAGCAGTCAGTTTAACTTGATTAACCCAAGATGAATGTCACAAGTCTTACAGATCACAGAGAATTAGAGCTGGGGAGATGCACAGTGGCAGCCCTGGCGTGTTATGGACGTCAGTGAAAGTGTGATGGGTTCTATCAGGGACCACTGTTTCTTGAATATTTTATTGTTTTCTTGTGAAGAACCAAGTCCCATACAATTTTTTTCTGATTTGTGAAGGAAAGTGACACAAGTGCTCTAAACTTTGTTACAGCAAAGAAGGAGATCCAGACCAAATATGAGATGCAGCTGGAAATGTTAACAGTGGCTTGTCTCTGGATAGCTGATTTAACAGGTTTGGACCTAGTGATGAGAAAAATGAAATCTTGAACATACCAGGTACAGGCCTAGTTTATACAGTGAAAAATTGTAATAGATAGGAGCTGTTTTCATATGAAAGAGATAGGGACATCTGAAATTTTATATAATGGTATACTACAGCAAGAGAAGTGATACCTGATTCATTGTGTATGCAAGAGTTAAGACAGTTTCCCCTTAGCATGAAGCATGTCCTTTCAGGAAGAGCTGGTGGTTGGCATGAAGAAGGTTAGAAGAGGAAAAAAAGGGATATTTGCAGAATGCAGAACAGTGCAGTAGAGTGATTCCTGAATCAGAAACCTTTTCGCAGACTGGGAGAGAGGAGTGTAAAAGGTAAAAGTCTTGAGAGATGGGAATGCAGAACAAAACAGCAAAGAAACACTGAACTCAGGCAAGAGAGAATGTGTATTCTTTCTCCCCTCTGGTTGTAACAGAAGAATTCCAGTATTAAAAAAGAGGAAACAAAATGATGTAAGAAAAGGCTAGCCTTCAAAATATCATCAGCCTCTGAATTACCCCCAAGAAAAAAATCTTATACATGTTCTGCTGAATTATCACTTATAGTTCATCTAATCCTCTAGAAGCACTTCTTAGAAAATATGCCTTTTACCTTGAATGTGAAAGTTGTTTTTGCCAAACATAGCACATTATCATATCACATTATGTCCAATGATGTGGCTGTACATTTCCTGTTTTTGAATTTTATTAGATTGGAGTTGTGGAGCATTATCAAGTATCTCACAGATCCTTAAAATTGCTTAGATATTACATTAAGTGCTTGAATGTTAACAAATAACACCAGAGTGTGGGCAAGAGAGTTCTGTGGACCTCTGCTGCACTGAAGACACTATTGCTAAGGCAGTTTCATGACAGAGATGGAAGAACAAAATACCAGGGAGCCCCTGACAGCAGAGGCTCAAGAATAGTGTCCTGCACAGAAGCTTAGGCTGGAGAACTCTGATTTTGGAACTGTTGGGAAGTGAAGGTGAGAACCAATTTATTTTTAATTTGAGTAAAAGGTAGATAAAACATTGTGAAAAAACAAGGTAAGTTCTTCTAAAAAATGGGATCTTCTGTTACAGCCAGGTAGTTAAGCACTGTTGGCTTGTCTCAAACTCCAACCTTCTAATTTTGTGACAATTTATTTCTGTTTCCTGCGTTAGTTAAAAGTAACTATTTTCCCCCTTAATACAGGTGACTCATTGGCACAGTCCGTACTTTTTTGCCTACTTTCCTGCAGCCTCTTCCTTCCCAGCTCTTCTTGCAGATATGTTGTGTGGTGGAATAGGATGTGTGGGCTTCTCTTGGGTAAGTTTACTCCAGTGTGTACTGCTGTGTGGTAATGATGCTTCACCTTGCCAAGATTTTAAGCATTTTAGTAAGATTCTACAATGAAATTATTGCTTAATAGCAATGAAGTCACAGGACTATTTTTGCAGGTAAATTTCCTTAACTAATTAAGTGTTTTCACACAGACACTCTGAATAACTCGAGGAATAAAAGGCTATTTCCTCTTAAAAGTTTCGACCTTGAAAAATCACCAGCATTTAGAATTAGTAGTAGCAGTGCAAACTCCCTGGTAATTCAATAAGTATATGACTACTGTCTATCACCCACTGTTGTTATTTCTCATTTCATCTGGATGAATGGAAAACTGTGTTAAAAACCTCACATTCATATGAGGCCGACTCTTCTCAAAAGAGGCTGGTATTGGATGTTGAAAAAAAAAAAGCAAGATGCAAATCCTAGCTTTGACATTTGATAGTTACAGTTCTATGTAAGGCCTATTTTGATATTTTTTTTAATAAGTATTAGAAACAGCATGCAAAAAGTGGTCTTCAGGTTCCTAATTTGGCTGGTAACATTAGTCATCTAGTCTCTTCCTCCATAGTGAAAAGACAGAGAAAGAATTATTCTTGCTCTGGTAGATCTTATTTTGCTTCATGGTGTAGTGAGGTTATTCTCTATGTTCTGGTTTTCAACACAGGCTGCAAGTCCAGCTTGCACAGAGCTGGAGACTGTCATGCTGGATTGGCTGGGGAAGATGATTAATTTGCCTCAAGAGTTTTTAGCTGGGAAGGATGGACAAGGTGGAGGAGTCATTCAGGTAAGAGGGGACCTGAAAAAGAATACAAATTGAGTTTGTGAATTGATGATTTTGTGAAATCTTTATACTAAGACACTAATAAAGGGAATAATTTTGTTTTTCTGCCACATGGGTTCCTTTCTAATTTTCAAAAAGATTGATGCTCTGTGAGAAGGTCCATATGCAGGTAGGATCATTCTTGAAAGTAATGACATGAATGTTTTGATTTTAGAGCAGCTGATTTCTGAAACACTTCTCTGTGAAGAATTACTAGTAGTTCAAGTTAAAAGCACAGTTTAGGCTTAAAATTCAAATCAGAATAATTTAATTTGTTGATCAATGAATTGAACTCATACTTACCAACAATGTGCGACAATGGCTCATAGCTGAAATTAGAAAAAATCTTCTCAAATAGAAATATATCTGAGGATTTGAGTAGAGCAGCATGAAAAGTGCTTACAAAGGCTTCCATGAAGTCCACCTTATACATGTGCAATTGTTTACTTCAGTCAATTTTCAAAAGAGCCTTCCTGTTTGCTTTTTTTTTTAGGAGAAAAAGTGTCAGAGATCAAGCAATGGATAACAACATAGGAGATAATCTTCGATACATAGAAATAGCAGAATGTTGTAGAAAGTCTGTCACTCTTTGCCAAAGAAGTTGAAATTATTTTAAGAAATATTGGAATATTACAATAAAATGAAGAGCTGCTTAAAAGTTGAACCTAAGCAGTACTATCAGTAGATAATACCATTTTCAGACTACACTGCATTTTCAAAATAGAACAAAACCCCAAACTTTGACATTGACTGCTTAATGAAACCTACAGTGTCTGAACAGATAACATGATCAATAATGAATATGTCATCAATGGGCAAACTTGCCTGCATAATAATGCTATATTATTTGTCAGCCATAGCTCCACTAGCGCATGGTCATTCTGCAAATGCAGCTCTGGTCACAGCTTTAATCTATTTAAATAGATCTCTACTGTGAAAAAGACTAAATTTTAACTAATTGTTCTGTGCTCCTTTGATAGTCTCTGGAGTCTGGTCATTGGAGGCCAGGGCACAATCCATTTGATCCCAAGACAGACTTCTAATATACATCTAAATTAGAGGCTAGAATCAGAGGCTTCTTTCTTTGATCTCAGCTGCAAATGCCTACAGCATATTCCAATGAATTCTTCCCAACATCTTCCAAGGCAAGAATGAATTTAACCCAACTGTTTTGATTCTCCTAGATGGAGCTGCACCTACACCAGTGCATTTACAGTATGGTTCTTTATTCATCTCCTTGCCCTGTTAGTATCTTTATCATTACGATTGCTAGGGAGGGGGTTACATTCAAGAAATCAAGCTTTCGTCGTGCATCTTAGCATCATCTTTTTTGTACCAGTGAAAGCAAGCAATTATGCCTGATTGTTATCAGCAGGAAATATTGCCCTTCCAGGCTGACAGTGCTGGATTGCCCATAATTTTCATCAGAAACCAGTCAGTTTCAAAAATCGAAAGTGGGCTGTGTTCCTGCTTACAATGCAGTCATTTGGGCTGCAGATCTTCGTCTTGCTCCTGAAACAATAATGATACAAATAAGAGGCAAAGTGTGAGGCAAAGACAACAGGAGTGTGTGAAAGTGCCAGTCATTCTCTTGGTAAATGCCAAGTAATTATTGTGGTATTGGGTAAAACCGAGCCTGCGAAAATTGGCTCTTAATTACATTTGAAAGTCTATGTCAATATGAAGCACTTTGTTGTTGTGTGCAGGATGACACTTCAAAATGGCAAAAGATGAAAGAAAATTTCAGTTCAGAGCTCTGGTGGACATGAACATCAGCTCTTGCTGATATTTCTTCCGCCTCTTGAGCCTGCTTGCCATGGCAACCTTTGTTTGCTTGTGGTAAAAGGAAAGGTATCATCATCCTTCACTTAATGTAGAATACAGCATTCAAGAGGGGGAAAAAACAGCTTTTAAAAATAAATGAGAAAGCAACTTTCTTCCTGAAGTTTGTATCCTGCTGTTCATTCTAGATAAATTGCTGGAAAGTGAATTTTAAAGAGTTTGTTTTGCTCAGCAAAGTATTTTAGGGGTGAGACAAAAATATCGTTGGCCTGGCAAGGAACACTGCTGATTTATCTTGTTTGTCAGTTAGCCAAGTAGTTCAAGAACCAAGGGGGGTTTTTTCCTTAAAAATATTTAGTGCAAGACTTTGGTGGAAAGTGTTTAGAAGAGCCTTGGAAACCAGGCTCTTTATACTGCAAACACTGTAAGCTTCAGTATAAGAAAGGTGACTCAGTATAAAAAAGGGGATTTATGGAAACTGAGGCAAGGTGAAAAAGCCTGTGTCTATCGTGAGACGTCCAAAAGCATCTCCAAGTTGCTGGATTCAGGTGCCTTTATTTAGGCTATGGCCCAGCTGTATATCAGAAGGCAAGACTCAGCTGGGCAGCAGGCCCTTTCCTTTTCATCCATGTTTCTGTATAAGGAAATTCATACAAGAACTGTTGTATACATTGACTATGCACCAGTCTGGATGAACAGCCAGGATATCTTGTGGAACTCCTCAGAAAGCTGAGGCTATTCTTCAGCCTAAATCATTCACCCACCCAACCAGGCTGTCAGAATAGCCTGGCCTATATAGAATAGTGCAGGCCTAAATTTCCAGATCTCAAATTAATGCCTTAACCGTTGTAATTTCTTACAGCCATTTTCTTTCATATATACGTGCACATTTTTTTAATATGCATATTCCTTACATGTCCTGGAAATACACTAACAGTATAAACAGTTATTTTATTTCAGATATTTTGACTTCTTAGACAGAAAAAGTAGGATGATTTCTCCATGTGTAAAAGGCACCTTTGTCTTATAAAAATAGCTCAGCTAATTTCAGTATAGGAGAAACTCTGAATTCACGTGGATCATTTTGACGTATGAAATCTGTCAGATCAGGCCCATCTTCAGGGAAGAAAAAAGACTTCTCAAGTATTTAAACATTTGTTGTAATTACTAAGCATACATAGGTCTTCAACAGAGGGAAGATAGAATTTTGCTACAGGACAAAAAACATCACTCCAAAATTAGTTTGTTGACACTTGGGATATTTCAGAGACATACATATTAATATAATCAGCTGTATCCATTGCACTGTTATGATTCATATGATGATTGATTAACTTTTAAAGTACCTAAAATCTTGATCTTGCATAAGACACCCCAATACATTGAAATTTATGAACACATGTTTACAAACTGTTACTTGTGGTTTAAAAGAGCAGTTTAGAGCATGTCTCTTCTGCCTATTCTAGATGAAAACTGTAAAAAGAATTTTTGGAAAGTTGTATTCTGTGAAATCTACTGGGAAATTGATACAAAAAAATTCCCCCTTTTGTTGTCACAGAGTATCCCAGGCACATTTTAAACTGATGTTTTGTGAGTCAAAGTACAATTTAGAAATAGTGTGTAACTGTTCTTTTCATCTTTGTGTTTGTGAAAGAAAACATACATAACTAATACTTTGAAATGCAATTAGCTATAATCAATCAGCATTTTTTGTTTTTCAGTGTTTTTTCTCTTTTAGACACAATAATTGACTTACACAGGGTAATTCTCATGTCAGAGAAGGCATATAATTAGGCATGTTGCTTGATAGAAGTGAGAGCTGATGTTCAGATCCTGATGGAACTTAAATGAGCAGAAATCCAGAGTCAGAACAGAAATCAGCAGTTAGCCTGCCATTGTTACTGGTTAACAACTGATTAGTGCCTGATTTGAGAGCCTTTTCACGTACATTTAAGTCTGTGAGTCCAGCTTTCTAGCACTGACTGCAAGGCTGGTGCCTAAAATGAACAGGCATAGAGATTAAAGAAAACAGGCAGAGGCATCAAGAAGGAGGAGACAAAGATTAAACACAGGTTCCACCCTTGCTGTCAGACATATTTTTAAAAGTAGGAGATTGCACAGTTTCTCATCTGCAGTTTCTGTTAACAACTTCGCAGATTCATTCAGAAGAAAACATTGCTTTTCTTCTTCTGGAATGTTTTCATTTTGAAACTTCCCTCAATTTGTCCCACAGGGAAGTGCAAGTGAGGCCACCCTGATTTCACTGCTTGCTGCTAGAACAAAAACTATCAGACGTGTGCAGTCAGAAAAGCCTGAGCTAACAGAAGCAGAGATCATGGGCAGGCTGGTGGCTTATGCTTCTGATCAGGTGAGTACCTCTCACTAACATGGAAACATGGCATCTAATACTTAACAATTTCAGCCATCTGAATGGGCAGGTGAATTAGGCATAAACTTCTTGGATTGGTCATTATTTGGTTTTGCTTGTTTAAATCTTACTGTACATCGTAAGTGTATCCCTCAGGGGTCCATACTGGGACCAGTATTATTTAATATCTTCATTAAGGACATAGTTCAGATGACATTAAACTGAGTGGTGCTGTTGATAAACCTTGTTTATCAAGGTTGAAGGATGGGATGGCACCCAGAGGCACCTGGACAAGCTCAAGCCCATGGGAATCTCATAAGGTTTCACAAGACCAAGTGCAAGGTGCTGCACCTGGGTCAGGCAACCCCTAGTATCAATACAGGCTGGGGGATGAAGGGATTGAGAGCAAGCCGGGCCCAGAAGGACTTGGGGGTGCTGGTGGATGAGTGGCTGGACATGAGCCAGTGATGTGCACTCACAGCCTAGAAAGCCAATTGTATCCTGAGCTGTATCAAAAGCAGTGTGGCCAGCAGGTTGAGGGAGGGGATTCTGCACCTCTGCTCTGGTCAGACCCCACCCTCATGGTTTTAAACTGAGAGAGGGTAGGTCTAGATTAGATATTAGGAAGACATTCTTTACTGTGAGGGTGGCAATGCACTGGAACAGGTTGCCCAGAGTGGTTGTGGATGCCCCATCCCTGGAAGTGTCAAAGCCAGGTTGGATGGAGCTCTTGAGCAGCCTGGGATAGTGGAAGGTGTCCCTGCCCATGGCATGGGGATTGGCACTAAGTGATCTTTGAGGTCCCTGCCAACGCAGGACATTCTATGATTCTGTGATAAGTGGGCTGGAATCTCACGTGTGCTACCATAATATGAAGGGTAAATATCCAAACGTCAGTGTTACATAAGTATTGCTTCTTTATAAAAAGAGCTCATTTGAAGTAAATAAAGATAATTAAATAAGGTGTTAATTTTAGTTATGTTGAGTGATTCTAGACCATCTTTTGTTGCATCCAAGCTTGTATGTCCATCTATGCACCCATGTGCATACACATGTGCAAACAAACACACATACATCATCCCCCTATATGCCTGCATGGGTGCAGGTGCAGGTACACGGATAAACCTAATGCATAAATATTAAACAAATTGATCACAGTACTTGAAGAAGCTCAAAACATTTTTTGTTTGTTTTTAGAGAAGAAAAATTCTAAGATCTCCATCTGCCAATCCAGCTAAGAAATCTTTTAAGGAAACAGAAAATATAATCCTTGATTTCTGACTGTGAGTGGTATTTAGCAGACTGAGTTATGCTAAATGCTCAGCAGGCCATGACAATGAGAGGTTTTTACTATTAATGAGAACAAATTGTACTCTTATGAGTTCTGCTACTGCTACCTTTCTGACACACTAATACTACTGAAGGGCCAAGCAATGTTGTTTCTCAATAGCTGTAACATTTTATTACCTACATGTCAATGAGACAGAAAAAAAAACCCCCTTCCTTAGTACCTAACATGTTTTTAAGTAATATTTGATTATGCAGAATAAAATGGCCAGGTTTCAGCCTTACTTTGATTTACTACTAAGTGTATGTTAAAAAGCACTGTAGAAGTTAAAAGTACACTTGCTCTTTGCTGGTGGCAAGAGGGACTACAGTTGCATGGTGAGAAGATTCAAGAAAAGAAAATATGAGGAAAGATAACTGCTTTCAAAAGGCACAAAGGATATTTGTCCTTTTTTTTGCCCAAGACCCTAAGGTCAGTATTGCGCAGACCACCAGTCCCAGAGCTCTGACTGACCCAGTGATGCACAAAGCCTTTTACTTGTTTTGATTTTTTATCCCATGTAAGTGGCTCACCTGAAATGAGGACTGACAGGCCTTCCTGCCTACTGAAGGTCAGAGGATCTTGTGTTTACAAAAGGATTTGCCTTAAGATACTGTTGACCTTTCAAAGCGGGTTGTTGCAGAGCTCACTGTTCCTTCTGCATTAAGAACAGACCTGTGTGACTCACAGGCAATAATCCACAAAAGAAAGTTAAATGTAAGCCATTCTGTGGGAGTGAAAACCATTCACTGACAGAGCCCAACAATGCAAGAATGCATTTGGAAGAGAATCTTGCTACAATTTTTAAGTCTTGATGAAGCACTTTAGAGGTTCTGACTGGCTAAAAACATCAGTGTATTATTATAGTTTGCTTATTTGCAATTCTTGTATATATAAGTTATAAAACATATTTTTCCATTGTACACTTGAATGAAGTATGGTATTGCTATGCCACACATTGTTTCCACTTCAAAAGTTATATTTCAAGTCTAGGCTTCCAAATTTTCTCAAATTGGTGCCTAATTAGTTTACCAAAGCATTTTAACAAAGAGGCACTGCTGAGATAAAAGTTAATGATACATCTGCCTTTAAAACATGTAATTCTAGAGATATATGAAGTTGAAAGACAAAATCTTGATCTTCATCTAGTCTAGTTCAACTGAAGTTTTGGATTATTATTTTCGTGATTATATGCTAAGCTAAAATAGAATTAATAAGCGCTCTTGTACGCACTGGCAAGAATCAGCAAGGGTAAGATGGAGATGTGAGAATAGTCATGATATGAAAAGGTGAGGAATTTTTCTCTTTCAAATTAATGATGATTAATGAAACTGTAGAAGGTGGAAGGTAAAATAGGTTTTTCTTTTGTTTTAGTCATGTTGTAAATGAGAGTATTTTGTGGCTAAATGTATCTTTCATTGTCAATAGAGTTATTCTAGTTATTATTCTATTGTACTTCATAATTTTACAAGAATTTCTTAGTGATATATTTGTTTTTATTACTGATATGTGCTTTATGCTCTAAAAAATATTATTTCTGGAGAATTCAAATGAGGTGGGTTGTAAATAAAATAAAATAACATATTGGGAATGATCCTTACTTGCCTAACAAAATGAATGAATGATTGAACCACAGTTTAGTCAGTACGTAATCTAAAAAAAATGGTAATGTAAGAAAGGATCTCGGTTTATATCATACCATGACGTGTATTATTTTAGAGGTCAGCAAAGCTGTATGCTATAAAAATGCACTAGTGAGCAACTGAATCATTATCAGGCAAGCTGATTATCTGCACATCTTTTGGTTGATTTAGAGCCAAAACCTCAAGCTCTACATCAATCCTACCATGTTAATTAAAGATCTCACTAAGGTTAGTTGAACTCCTGTCTGAATTGTGTCATGGCAATGGTCTCAAGGATATTTCAGGGTTTCTATCAGTGAATTGTGTGTGTAGGTATATATATTTATGTGTGTCCATCTGTCTGTCTATCTGTATGAAAGAGAGAGAGGTATGTATCTTTTACATACCATCAACAGTCCCAGGATCTCAAGTGTTGCTTTACCTGAAAGAAATTATTTTTTTTTTAAATTCAAATGAACTCACATTCCAATAAAAGGTGTCAGTCTTAAAACGTCCCCATTTCCTTGTAGGCTCATTCATCTGTGGAAAGGGCTGCATTAATTGGTGCTGTGAAGATTAAAAATGTTCCTTCAGATGATACATTTACTGTTTGTGGTTCAGCCCTGAAGAAGGTTCTGGATGAAGACAAAGCTGCTGGTCTTATACCGTTCTTTGTGAGTACTGGATTTTAATTAATCAGTGGATTTTTTGCTTCTGATAAGCTACTTTTGACAAGAGTAGATGGTCTAATCTGTAACAGAGGCATTGATAGGCAGCTGAGCTAGAATACCAGGAGAGGTTCCATGAGTGTTCTTCACATGCCTTTCTGTGCAGGAGGAGAAACTAATTGGAGCAGCCGGTTGCATTTCTCAGCAAAATGATGTTTTAAAAGGACTTAAAGTTATATTAGACTGTTGAATAAATAGGGGTCCATTTTGTAGTTGCAGGTAGTTTTGCAGTGTTATAATCTCCCAACCCTTGAACTCTGAACCGTTTACCTTTATTTTTCAGTTTCTAACTTACTTACACATAAAACAGGCTTAAAGGAAATAAATTAAATAATGCTCCCTCAAGCTTAAGTATCTTCAAGAAACAATAGTTTCCCCTCCTCAGCATTTTAGCAAACAAATGAACCTCCATAATATACCCCAAATATCATCAATATCAGGCATTGTCAGTTGGGTATTTGTGAGTACATAACTAATCTCTAACAAGTGAGCTATAGGGAATGTGGCTGTGGAAGCTTCAGGTGTCATCATTTTTTGTTATCTGTCCACTTTCTTTTCCAAAGATTCCTGCTTTTACAACAGTCTAGCAAAATCTCCCAATTTTTGACATAGAACAGTGTTAGATTAGATAAAATTCTAAAGTTATGTTCTACTGTAAGTACCTGATCAAAAAGAATATTTGCTTATTTGTCAGATCTACTCCTGCCAGTTCAGAGCACCATCTTATTATTTCAAGTTAAAACGAGATTTTACCATTTGACTTTTCCCATGAAGTAAGTAACTTCTGTTGTGGTTTTGTACATCACCAACAAAATGTTTTGCTTGTTTCCAAGCATTATGTCTCTGCAAAACTTGATATTGACCATGGGCTATATAGATCTATTAAGGGGTATAATATGCTACAAGGAATATGTTTTTACTGGCCTCCACTGAAGAAAAACTGAAGAAAAAAACCCCACCGACAACTAATTTGGAAACTGAGAACTTCAGAAACTGATTTTTCAAGAGATTGAAAAATGTGTCACAATGTTTTCAGAAAAGTCATGTCTGATGAGTTTTTTCTTTTTCATGTGGTAACATTTTGAAAAGGGCTAATGTGAACTTCAATTTCTATGAACTGTTTTTAGAAGAATTAGCCGATTAAGCTTTTTTATACTCATGGATAAGTGCCAAATGGGACTAAGAAGCTTAAATTTTACCAAGCTCTTTTGAAAATATAATCTTTTTACTCTTCTTGTTACTAACCTTTAAAGTCTGTTTTTATGTAGTAGAGTGAAAAGTGGTTTTATATGTGCAGAATGATGCTAAATTCTAGGCTGCCTAGAACGATTGAGTCCTTGGAATGACCAAGCGCATCCTATCAATTGCTTCCCAGTATAATAAGACTATGACTGAGAAACAAAGCATCTCTAAGTCTTCCAAAATGAACTTTTTTCTGTAGGCTGCACCTATAGAGGTAGAGAACATGCCACAAGGCATGTTTTATTCCTCTGTTATGTGATCCCAGCTCATAATACCTTACACAGGATCCTACTTTTGTATCTTACTGTTAATTTTAAACAAGTACATCACTGTATCATGTCTTTATGCACTAACTGCAAAGTTAATGTGTTTTTTTTCCTCAACTTTTGTCCATTAACAAAAAAAGAGGCAACTTGCCTTTCATAAATATTCATTCCTTATTAATTTTTCTATGTGTAACGAGGAAATAAAAAAATCTGGTTTATGTATTCAGTGACACCTTTACAACAGACGATTTAACTGTTGTTTTTCTTCCTCTGTTTGTTTAGCTGTGCAAAACAGGCTTTCAAAGACAGCAGAGGCTCCATCTGAGTTAATATGGCCTGTACTGGATCTTCCATTTATTTGTATGCATAAAACATGTCAGATTAAAGTAGATTTCATTATCCTTATGGTTGGCTACTTAAAAGGTGTGCTAATTCTCTGCCATGCTGAGCAGCAGTCCATGGACTGTATTAGTGCTCCCTTTTCTGGCTTGAAGATTTCAAAAGCATTTCCATTTCTTTTGTCTTGAGTAATTTGGTGCTATTTTATTTTGTTCTGACAACAAAGATATGCACATTACCAAGGAAACACCTTATGCCACTTGATTCCTTGTCTCCCTGTACTCACTGATCCTTCACTAAGGGGAGTGATTCAACATCAAAGCAACAAGTTTGACGGAAGAAATTCTGCCTGAAGAGACTTGTGACAGCAGAGAGATCATTTCTAATGAAGATGTCTTATTTGCATCCAAGCTGTTTCAGTCTCCCTTATCAGCAAGAAGTTTTGTAAGGGATAAAAAAGAAAATTCAACTAAATTACAATGCCTTATAGGCATGATTCTCCTCTTATACTTAATGAATAAATGAGGAATCATTATACTGAACTTCATAGAAATGCTTTCCCTTTAGAGGTGAGTGGAGAGTCAGGGCCAGGTTTTGTTGATGTGAAAGAGGTTCTGTCATTACAGCAATATGGTAGTTATAGGTTTACTTTTCACGTACATAGGATTTTTTCAGTCAGCCTTTTTTGGGGGAGAGGCATTGTCTTTAAAAGGAGTCTTTGCATTCCTACCCACCATCAATATCTTTTAGCATTAGTAATGTGTATATCTCTCTGTTCAGTGAAGGCTATTGCCAGTAGGTACCCAGATTTCTACTTTTGTTTTCATTTTTTTATTTCTAAATTCAGACTTGTGTTAATTTGTCTGTTTCAAAATACTTTTGCAGAAATTGAAACGGGTATTTTCATATAGTAAAGCAAGCAGACTGTGCAAAACAATGCACTTAACCATGTCAGGTGTCGAGACACTAAAGTTGCTCCAATTTACCAAGGAGCAATTTCCCAATGTGGATGATACGCAGCCATTAAAGGGTGAGCTTTAAAGCATGTGCTGAAGTCACGTCCATTTCATTAATTATAAACACACACTGGTGGTTAAACACACGGTAAATGCCTTTCTCAGCTGGGCCCTATGGTCCCAGCTTGAGACAGGCCTCTGCGTTCGCTGAATGTTGACTGGCATGCTCAAATTTGGAGACCACTAAGTTAAGCACTTCTAAATTCAGATGTAGTGTCCACTGCATTCAAGCCCAGTTCACTTGAATGCGTGTAAGTGGCCTGTGAGCTTTATGCTGTCTTTCATAAATCAACACTGATCGGTTGCAGCTGGCATATATATAGTACAATACACTTCAACAGCCTTATCCAGTATAAAGCTCCTATGACATGGTTGCCTTGCTGCCCAGCGTGAAGTCTCTCTCATTCTAGCTGCAATGACTTTTCTGAATGATGATCTGCAGGATATTAAGAAGCAGGCTGTTTATATCCAGACTCACTTGGGAAACAGTAAATCAGAATCAGACTGACAGAGGAGCCATCTTTTCAGTAGAAGTCAACACTTAGATCCTGACCACAGATTTCCATTTGGAAGAAGCATTCTGGAGGCATGTACAGATGCCTAGGGTGATGTTTCTTAACCCACAGTTTATGAATGATTGCTGTTTTGTAAAATAGTGAACAGTGGTTTAGAGAATGATTTCAGTTTTCTTCAGGCCACAGACATTGTCATAAGTGCAAGCCAGCAAAGAACTGAGTAGGAGAAAATAAAACCAATAAGGGAACATTGAAAGTCCTGCCTCATTTTAGTTAGTTGCAAATGAAAAGCTTTGTGATGAAACCATGCAAAATGTGTCCATGTCTTTTGCAAAAGCTATAGGAGGTTCTTCCAGTTGAAAAGATTGAGAGTAATTGCTCTCAGGCATCATAAAAGTTCATGAATGTTTCCTGATATAGCTTTTCCTTTTAGGAAACTAATACATGAGATGACTGATGCAAGCTTTTTAACTGTTTTGTATTCATAGCCAGGGCTGAGTCAAATTTGAAGTGCACAACCTGAAAAGGATAAGGCCTGCAGGCTATACTGAGCCATCAGTCCCATTTCTGTGATGTAGCCTGTCCCCTGCCCTTTGCACAAATGTGATTTTTCTGGTGTTACATAGGCTACAAATTGAGTTAGATTCATTCTGTAGTACTGAGGCAGGGTAATGAGAGTCCTGACAAGAGCAGATGCTGTCACTTTAAGTGGTTTCTGAGAATTAAAGCAAGTAGCTTTGAGGCTTAGACACCTGCAGAGAGGAAAACAAAATTATTTTAGAAAATGAGGTATTTACAGAATAAGCCATTATTTAAACAACTAAGAATATGTTTGAACTCATATAATCTCTCATTGAAAAAACATACTCCTTATCCCGATTAGAAGGAGAATACCTTAGCTGCAGAACAATACTAACAACAGTAATGTGTAACTTTCTTTTGTGAAATCTTCCTCAGTATTTTAATTGCTGGACTAGCCAAAATAGTTTCACTCTAATCTTGTCAGAAAATTTATAGCATATTGTGATAAAATATAGGTGTAAAATCAGTATTAAGTCTATAGTGCACTCTTATTTATTTCCCAGTCTAATGGGTTAACCCTTATTCTTTATGTATATAGAAAAATTGGAATTTTCATCGTGCTATCCTCCAATTCTTATGATCCAATGTGTAGATCTTCAGCCAAAAATGAAATGCAGGTTTCTCCTGATTGTGGAAACATCTTAGGTAGACAACAATGTGATAAATATATTTTCACTCCATACATGCATGCCCTCTTAGTAAAAATAGGGACCCAATTTATTCCTATTTCAAAAGATACCCTGCAATCTTTTCAAACCAACCTCCTTCAAATGGTGATTGGTCTTCCAGAGAAGTCATAAAGGTACCTCAAAGCACTTTAATTTTTTTGTTCTTCTCATATGACTCAGGAATATAGGAAGGTCCAGTATGGATAAAGATTAGATTATTTTGAGGGAAAAATATGTTAGCACACAGTTTTACCAACTATATATACAGTATGATTCTCATTTTCAGAACTATATTTGTTTCAAACTCAGGTTCTTAGTAGCTTGATACAGAAAAAATACTGTATTTTCCCTTTATTATTTTAATAATTACTTTTTGCAAGTTTTGCTATGACAGTATGTTTGTTTCTGGAAAGGTCTAGTGGATGGACAAGTATCATCTAGGTTTTTCCTTTCTTACTGGTCTCATCATGGATTCACTGAGGGACATGTGCACACATACACACAGAAAAATGTGGCTAGTTGCTGATATATAGGGAAAAACTGTAAAAGCAAAAGATAGTGCATTGACAGTGTACTTGGCAGAAAAAGTACCTAGAAATAATAAAATAAAAAAAAACAAAATTCTGGATTTGGCATTTTTATAGTCATCTCTTGGCTGTATTGTAGTCTGTGTGTGACCGTGGATAAATTATCTAATGCTTTTGTACTTCAGTACTCTGACTAAAACCCAGCTTACTTTATTTATCTATTTAAACTGCAAAGTATCTTTTATTATGTAAAAAATCCAGTACAAGACAAAAACCAGACCCAACCTTTATTAGTGCTTTCAGAAATGAGACAGGGTGTTTAAAATGTAAGTATATCAATGAAAAATAAAATAATGTCAGTTTAAATGCACTTGGTATTTGGGATTTTTTGGTTAAAATTCTACCTGCATATTCCCAGAAAATTATGATAGCTCATTTTCTCCTAGTTATATTCTCTTTCTACTGTGAAATTTAAGCATTTGTGTTAGCTCTGCTTTTGACCCACTGATCACACAGAAGGGTACATTAAATGAGACATTACAAGAATGAAGGAAAAATAGTTCCAGTATTTTAGGATGAATTTCTGAGAAGTTTATCTGGGAAAAAAATCTTGCAAGTCTAATAGTAAACATATGCTACTAGTGAACAGCTTCCAGGCTGCAGATCCATTGAGCATAAATCAGTTACAAATCTCTGTTGCAGAGCTGTAACTGAGGCAGCAGCATTTGTGACCTATTCTGTCAACAAGAATTCCAGCACCATAGTTGCTCAAGTTCAGAACTTGCTTATATACCATGAACTGCAAATCATTTTGATGGTAATTGCATATGTGAGGTTAGTATTTGGCCACATGATAAGCATGTGGAACACATAGAAATTATATAAATTATAGAAATAGCATAATACTGTGAATATATTGCAGTACTTATCAGTCAGTTTTATATTGACATTTGATTTTATGCATCTGTTTCTAAGGATGCTTATGGGAACTTTGGAAAAAAATCCACGTACGTTCTCAAAATTTCCACTAAGGATTGGTAATGGCTAACATCAATTTATTTTGCCCTAAACCACAATAGTCCTATATCATTTATCATTTATTCTTTTTGTTTATTGTTACCTTTGCAGACAGTTTTTTAATTTGATAATTTCCTGTGCTATAACACGTTTGTTTTTTTTTTGGTTCTGCAGTTCTGTGCAACTCTCGGAACCACACCTTGCTGCTCCTTTGACAAACTGTTAGAACTGGGTCCTATTTGTAAGTCTTTGCTGCTTCTTTCTAAAATTGCAGATAGCAGTTTAAGCCACACTGAGTCATTTCCAGGACATTGTGCAGTGTCGTGTTCCAATTCAATAAAGCTACTTATAGATGAGACCTTCAATTACAGTTTTATTTCTAATATTAGTCAAGCAGCAAATGTGCATTCTCAAACTCTTAAAAAGTATAGGGGACATTGCCTCAAGGGTTTTTTCCTGGGGCAGTCATATTTTGAAACACTGTCAGTTAAAAATTACTGTAAATGCTTCAGTTTGTAACATTTTTCTTCAAGCCCTTCTACCTGCAAGTGCATCTATAGCAATGGTGAATATCAGGAGAAAGTTGAACTCCCATTCTCCTCTGCACCAAGTGCACTCATCATAAGTATTTCTGTGTGATGGTTTGTTTTTTGAAGCCTTGATCTGCAGCAGGGTTTGGTCAAAAGCACATGCTTGCTGGCTGATGAAAATGCAAAGTACACCGTATCTATTCAAGTGTACATTTAGAACAGGAAATTTACAGCTATAAGCAATTGGAAACAGCTTCATAGAAACTGCATTTGATGTTCTGGTAATTCATTAAGTGGGGTTTAAAACTTTGGGGCATGTGTGGTGGTCACTTGCTCTGTGAGGTTTCTTGCTCTTCAGCACAAGCCCCAGAGACTCAGTTTCTCTCAGTCCTCCTTTCCAAACAGGTTTCTAGTAGTCTGCTGAGCAGCTACAGATTATTTTGCTGTTTGAGTTATTCCTATAGATCTGACCTAATAAAACAGTGACACCAATACTTTTAGGTATAGCAGCCAGTCATGTGTTTCACCTCAATGATTCCCTGTTTGTGCAGAAGAGATGAGAAGGATTTCACACCACTGAAATCAGAAGTCTCTGATTTTCTGCCTAATTTTCCTCTTAGTATACATGAGCATCTTTAAAAATAATTAATCAGTAGAACTTTCAACATGTTTTCAAATAAACCTCAGTTGTGGATTTTGTGAATAATATTGTATTAGCTTTTCACAGACTTTTATGCAAAAGGAAAACGTAGTTCACAAGAATGAAAATTTCAGCTTGAACTTGGTGCCCAAATGCAGATCTCAATGGATATACCTCTGTATGTGGAAATAAGAATCAGAATTGTCTGGTGACCAGTGTAAAAATGTTATGTGGGCTTTAGCCATCAACTCATAGACCAGAATTGTTACCAAATGCATTAATACTGTGATCTATAATAGAATGTGAATAGTAAATTACAGAGAATACATGAGCTGCTCATATGACAAAATATTTCTGCAGAAACCATTCAGTCACTAATCAAAACTAGCACTTTCTTAACACTTCAGTGCTTGCTTTTGCAGAAGTATCTCCATCCTTGTAATAAATAGTTTGCTGCTGGCAGTTCAAAAGCATGTGCATGCATATATATCAATATGTAAAGAATATTGTATAGAGACATGTTTGTGATTCATGAGTTAGAAGTGGGGAGCACAGCTAATATTCTAGCTCTTCTTGCTGAAGTAGTTTTATTACCATAGAAATTATAGCTAAATCTCTAGATAGATCTTTTTTTAAAGTGTGTTTTTTAATGGTTCTTGAATCAAAATCACATAGTATTTTGTGTTGCTTAATATTAGTAAGATAAGAGATGATGATCCTTGTGAGTCCCTTCCAACTCAGTATATTCTATGATTCTATGACTTTGTTCCAGGAGAAGTGGGATGGAAAAATAATTTGTTATGTATACATCTTTATATATAAATGAAAACCCAGATGGCAGAAACATTTAATCTCTTAATTTAATTTTAAATTGGGAAAATAATGACATCAAAGAAAAACCTCTCAGGCACTTGGTTTCATGCAAATTAATGGGGCTTTTTAATCTGCTGTTTAATTTATTTCCCCTTCAATTATTTTTTTAGGTAATAAGGAAAATATCTGGATGCATATTGATGCAGCCTACGCTGGGAGTGCATTCATCTGCCCTGAATTCAGGCATCTCTTAAATGGAGTGGAGGTGAATGGTGTTTTTTCTCTAGAAGCCTGCTAAAACCTTGCTCTTTCATAGAATTTGTTGTTTATGCATCCAAGATTAATGGCTCTTCCAGAATCTCCAAGTAAGCTGCACCTCAAATCCCTGTACATTCTATTACGTTACTTAAGTTTATATAATTTTTACTGGATATACTGGATACTGCATACTGGAGTATGCAAGTTACCTCACTATGTAGAAGTTTCTCATTCAGAACAGCAAATAGTAGTGAATCAACAAAGTGTCTTGCAAAATAGAAAAGTGGAACTTTTTCCCAAATAACCCAAATGACACATTTATAGAAGCCTAATTCTACCTTACATGCACACACAAAATTATTCTAAAAAAAAAAGTTATGTCTTATTATGTCTGATTTTTTTCTTGCATCCTGAAAGTTATCTAGGATATAGCCAGTAGCTCTATCTCAAACAGACAGGGTTTAATAACCAAGAGAGCTAAATGAAATATTCCCCCAACAGCACTCCTGTTCCTTTTTCCCCCCCTTGCTGAGCAACTTGGCATTCAGTTGCTTAGATAAGAATACTTCAATTTCCTGCTGCTCCCCTCAGACAGTCAGATAAGTCCTTGTCTTCCACGTCAGTGGAGAAAATATTACTGTTTGGTAAAGCCAGAAGTTTAAACACAGCACTGATATGTAGTGACTAATGAAGAAGAAGAGGGAAAACCCCCTCACAAATAAAGCATTTCTTTCTCTCTCTTTTTTTTATCAGCAAAAGAAGCTTGTTTTAATTTCCTGTGTGGGAATATTTTTTAAATTATTGTTATTGGTTCCCAAAGGAAATGAAACAGTGTCCCTTGTCTGGGCCAGCATTTGTCACAGGAGTAAATATTTAACAACCATGAATAAGTTTCCTACCTTACCTAGTACAGGGTGATAGCTAGCTAGCTATATAGATAGATAGACAGATAATCTTCTCTTATTAGAGTAATTGTTAATTGTTTACAGGTGACAGGGAAGGTTATGAGAAGCAAATGAGAACAGAAGAGTGCTATAACATGCTGCCAGGCCCCTCTCTCTCTTTTTTAAGGCTGATGAGTTCTGCCTTTGTTAAAACAGAAAACATGGATGAAGCCTTTCCCACATGATGTCCATCTTACCTAGCTGGGTTTCTTCTGACACCACGCCTAAACATATCTCAAGTAAACTGGGCCTGGCACATTATGTGTATAAACATGTATTGCCAGTCCTTATCTTTGGTGGCATTTCTTTTGACTCTAGATGAAAAACTTGGTTTCTACTGAAAGAAAATACTCTATCAGTAAAAAACAAACAAACAAACAAAAAACCCCAAACATTTCCTAGCCAGTTGTAATTTTATGAATGAATGTGATGTGCAGATTCTGAATTAAATAAATCACTTGTCTCTGTATATTTGAATTTTGTGTTTATATGTTTAATGCTCTTGAAAATAGAAAGCTTATTGGAAAATGTGATATGAACCACCAGTGAATGTTTCTGAGTATACATATTTATTTATTTTTTTAGTTTACAATGAGATATGTACTTTTCTGTAACATCTATATCTAAAAAGTATACAAATGCTCAAAATGTTGATAATACTAATAGCCTAACTGCACACCTAACATGAATTCCATTCCAAAAATGAATGAAGATTTAACTAAGACAGTTACTAACTAAGGTGGCATTAGTATGAACATAATAAATACTGAATTCAGTAATTAATTTGTAGTTAAAGTGTACAGAGACAATTTGACAGAGTTATATCATTGGCACATGGATCCTTTTCTCTTTCATAATTCTGTTTTTATTTATCCATTTTCAGTTTGCAGATTCCTTTAACTTTAATCCTCACAAATGGCTCCTAGTGAATTTTGACTGCTCTGCTATGTGGTAAGTATTACAGTAAAAGGAAACATTGCAAGGGAAAAAAATCACATTCTATTAGTCTGCCTTTCTACCAGTAAACATTTATTTATATTTCTCTTTTGAAATGAGGAGCACGGAATAGCTTCAAGTCGTGTAAATTATTTATAAAATTCCCTTGTTTCAAAAATATGAGATTTAGTTTCAAAAATGTGAAATTTAGAAATAGGCCTTAGCTCTGCGTTATGTTTCAGAAAGAGAGAGAGAAGTCCCAAAAAGTCTGCAGATTCATACTTGCTCCATTTTGGGACTGTTTAAAACATAAAGGAAAAACTTAATTTAGGGATATCAGTGCAACGAACAATATGCTCAACAGAGCTTTTTGTTTTTCTTTTCCATAAATTTTTTTTTTGTTTAAGCTTCCGTCTTTTAAAAGGCTTTCTAAAAATGTTTGAGATTTGGCTGATGAAAAGCAGCTGATTTCAAAAGGCACTATTTATATAATTTTGTACTGACTTTCAATTTCCCCAGATGACAGCAGACGACATTTTGATATAAAAAGATGCCAAAATAGAAACCCATAGACATACTTTCAAACAAACCAAAGTATCGGAGCAGTAATAATAGCATGGTTTTGTTAAAAACATTCCAAAATAGATGATCCTATTGTGTCCCAAACTAGATGTTTACCAGCATCACAACTAATGATACTTTTTACCAAAACAGCTATTCAGTAAATGCAGACTATTTATCAAAATAAATGAAAACATTAATTTCAGTGATAATGGAACAAAATTTGCAAAAATGAGAAAAAGGAAGGAAAAACTGAATGTTAAAAAGAAGACTCCAAAACATCATGCAGAGATAGGTCACCTTATTTAAAAGACGAATAAATGTGGGACAGTAGTCACTGAGTTGCTTTTGGTTAACCTTTAGCTCTTTTAATATCCCAAGCAAAGATGACTTTTCAGGTGATATATAACATTTTTATGTAAATATTTTAGCTGATATAGGCATTTCAAATATTGCAAGCCATTATGGTCTTTTTTTTTTCCTTTCCTTAGTGTAAATGGTTTACATTTTGACCCTACTTCATCAGTAGTGGCATCAGTGTGATTAACCCAACATTCCAGTTTATAAGTACCTCATAACATGCTGTGTCTCTGTATTTGGAAATAGGAAGACAATAAAACAAACTCCTTTGCTAGTTTCTCCCATCTTTTTCTCATTAGTCAAAGACATTGTTAAAAAAAATAGCCACCTGCAAATAAGACAATACACTATCATTCTTTTCAGTGTTTGTAGAACAATTAGGGGCCAGAGTCTAGTCCCTAAAGTTTAATTTCTCATTAATTCTGCTTTCCCTGAAAACCCTGTGGAACTATGTTAAAAGTGTTTTACCTGGCTTTTCAGGAAAACAAGGAGGTATATCCAATCCCACTGTGAGTTCCATCTCAGGTGATTTTAGACTTCAGACTTAGGAAAGTATTTGTCTCCATTTTGTTTCTTGCTGGTTTTTCCTTTTTTTTTTTGTTCTCTTTTGTTTTTTGTTTGTTTGTTTTAGGGGTTTTGTTTTGTTTTTTAAATAAGGCATTGCATAAAATGTTTGTTTTCATAGATAGGAAGATTCCATTACAAGGAATCTCAAGAGACTTTACAACATCTCCTTACTCAAAGTGAAAGTTTCACAACCACAGCCATACAAACTTCATTTCAGCAAGGCATTTATGTATAGATGTTATTCACTTAATAAAGAATGAAATGTACACTTAAACTCTTTGACTTGAAGCCAAATGCATTGTCCAGCTAACTCTAAGCCCCATGTCCAAAATTTACCTCTCTTACCAACTAAAAAGGTGAAATTTTAAAAGAAAGGATGAAGGAACATGGTGAGAAAAAGTAATTGTGAAGGATACATAGTCCTCAGCATGATGTTGTGGTGATATGGAAAGACTTCAGTAAACACTGAACATCATTTCAGAATGAAAGTAATCTGAGTTCCTTTGATGGGCAGGCTTCTAAATAACCCAGGCTCCTCAGCACTTTCCCCAGTAAACACATTTCTTTTTGCTGCAATCTGATTAAGATAATTTAGCCATTAGATCTGTAATGTAATTATTTAACTACTCAGTGCAATATGTGGCACTGATATAATTTTGGATTTGGGGGCAATTTCATTATAAACCTTTTGTAAAATATTCTCAGACTTCTTGATGTACAGAAAAAAGCAGTCAATTTCCTAGAAAAAGAAATTTAATATAGCCATTCCAAGAAGTGTATATTTTCTATGTGAAATGCTAGAGTCGTTTAGAGACTGAAACTGAAAACTGAAACTGAAACTGCCCTGAAACTACCAGTCAGTTTTGCCTGACCTGTTCAATTGCTACTCTGGAATATTATAAAATGGGAAGAAGTGTCTTCATTCAGAGAGTGTGAAAATAATAGTCTTTCAAAGTCTTGGTATTCTTGCTTTTTTATTACTCTTCTCGGGGCTTAAGTGTTAACTTTTGGTTTGGGAAGGTGTTTTAGTATTTGGAAGGAAGGTGCTTACAAGAAATGCTTATCTGTACATCATAAGAGCACAGAATGGCTCAGGTTGGAAGGGAAGTTAAAGATCATCTAGGTCCAACCAAGTGTATGGTTTCAAAGCCATGCATCTCTGTTTCAGTCTCTCTAATACTGCTTAGCCTATTAACTGTGTCTGGTAATTCAGCCACCTGCTGCAACAGGTAAAATCAACCTGGGCACACTTTGTGCAGGTACCAGCCTTTTCTCCAGTAGAAGTATCTTTTCTCCAGTAGAAGTATCCATTGCAAACTGCCACCTGTACTGATGTACCTTCCTTAGCAGTTCTGTCTGGGTTTGAGCAGCAGTCTTCTCAGGGGCTGTCTCAGTAGACACACTGGGTTTGGCTCTGAGGTGAGTGCCCACCATTATGGCAGAGACCTACAGCACTCAGCCCTCTGGTGTGGACCTCCTGAGCACTCAGCCCTTACCTGAGGTGTGGAACTGCTTGCAGATTGCACCACCCTTCCTGCATTCCCTGCCTATGTGAACTGCCACACAAACTGCCATGTCACATCCTTCTGACGTGATCCTTCATTCGGCCAGGGGTATTTGCAAAGAAAGTTAAGAACACCACTCCTGTCACAGAATCACAGAATATGTCAAGTTGGAAGGGACCCACAAGGATCATCGAGTCCAACCCTTAGCCCTGCACAGGACCATCCCAAGAGTCACACCATGTGCCTGAGAGTATCATCTAAATACTCCCTGACCTCTTTCAATTTTAGTGCTCTGACCACTTCCCTGGGGAGCCTGTTTCAGGACCCAACCACCTTTTGGGGAAAGAACCTTTTTCTAATATCCAACCTAAACCTCCCCTAAAACAACTTTGGGCCATTCCCTCAGGTGCTGTCACTGGTCAGCAGAGAGAAAAGATCAGTGCCTGCCCCTCCTCTTCCCCTCACAAGGAAGTTCTAGACTGCCATGAGGTCTCCCCTCAGTCTCCTCTCCTCCAGGCTGAACAGACCAAGTGATCTCAGCTGCTCCTCAAGGCTCTTCACCATCCTTGTTGCCCTCCTTTGGATACTTTCTAGTAGCTTAATCTCTTTCTTATATTGTGGTGCCCAAAACTGCACATAATATTCAAGGTGAGGCCGTACCAGTGCAGAGCAGAGCAGGACGATCCCCTCCCTCAACTGGCTGGTGATGCTTTGCCTGATGCCCCCCAGGACATGGTTGGCTCTCCTGGCTGCCAGGGCACTGCTGACTCACATTCAACTTGCCATTGACCAGGACCCCCAGGTCCCTTTCCATGGCACTGCTTTCTGGTATCTGATTACCCAGTCTGCAGGAACATCTGGGGTTGCCCCATCCCAGGGGCAGAATCCAGCACTTCTCCTTGTTGTACTTCATATGGTTGGTGATTGCCCAGCCCTCTGATTTGTTAAGGTCTCTCTGCAGGACCTCAACAGCTCCTCCCTCCCAGTTTTGTATCATCTGCAGACTTGCTTAGTATCCCTTCCAGTCCTGCGTCCAAGTCATTTATGAAGATGCTGAAGAGCACAGGGCCCAAGATGGAGCCCTGTGGAACCCCACTAGTGACAGGTTGCCAGTCTGATGTCACCCCATTCACTATTACCCTCTGTGCTTGACCCGTGAGCCAACTGCTCAACTACCACATGATGTGCTTGTCCAGCTCTTTTTCCCGTCTGAGACAGGTGCATCCTGTCAGGTATCAGTGGACCAGGTGTTGAGTAGGTCGTCCCATTTATGGTCAAAAACTACAGAATTTTTCCAATTACACCAACCTCAGAGCCAGTCATTGACCTGATGGATCTACCTATTCCTATCAATATTATTCCTTGTTACTGGAAGAATTGAGGAAACTGTTCACTACCTGTGGTCCTGATCCCTCTACAATTGTCCCAGGGCCCCGAAATCTCTTTTGATTGCCCTTGGACTTCTCTTTGTTATTTCACTGCTGCCAGTTCAAACAACCAATGGCAGACAGTAATCAGAGGGCCTGACTAAACTGGAAAGTTTGCCAGTAATGTCCCTTGTCCAGACCACACAAGCACTTACTGCAAAGTTTAAATACATAGGGCAAAATCTAGGCATGGTGTATAGAGGTGCAACTCATGTGGTTCGTACACATTAATGTCCAGGCTTTGGATTTATTTTAGTAATCCTTTTAGATAGTTTTTCATGGTTGCCAGATTAAGACCTGTGAAATCTCCTTTTAAAAAAGCAGTGACATCACTAAGGAAGTACGAGATGGCAGCATTTTTATGTCTTCTAAGCTAGATGTTCCTGCAGAGTAGTTATCTGTTCCACTGTTAAACAGAGAAGAAATTAAGCTGTCACAAAACAACTAAGTACATTGCTTGTAACTTGTATTAGTTGCATACAGAATGAGCTACTGAAACATGAATATATCAAAGTAATCAAACATTCAAATAAACTACAGTAGAACAACTTAAGGTTTGTTAAAAATATTTACCCTAATTGAACCTACTTCCATCTCTCCACAGGACATTTTCAGCACACAAATAAGTTATTAATTGTTTTTACTGAGAGCATTCTGGAAGTTTGTTGCTATTTTTCATGTGCATAAGCTTACTTATCTTCAGCTGTGTACTTTCCATACCTAAAGGAAAGCACTTTGCTGTTAACCTTGGTGCTTCCCTGGCCATTAGTCATAGAGAGGCTTTTTTTTGTTTAAATAAGATGTTTTATGACCACAGCCTAGATGTGAATGAGAGCTGAGAGTGTGTACTGTCCTGTGTATTTATAAATACACAATAAAATATTGGAAATTAGATTTTTCCGTAGAAATTTACAATTTTACATTTAAACATTAAAACTCAGGAAAAAAAAAGGTTTGGACTTTGGTCATTTAGAGTATTCCCATGTTGATACAACTTTTGCTTACTTTGTAATATATTTATAGGCCTAATATAATGATGTAGCAGTCTTTCCCTTTTTCAGTTTATGATTTCTTCTTCTTCTGCCTCTATAAACCCCAACATTTGTGGAGGTGAGTCAGCCTTACACAGCGTGAAGCATGAACGAGAAAAATCGTGTTATTAACCATTGGCAAAACATAGCTTATTCTCTCTAAAAGGGACACACTGGCTTTTGAACCTCAGTCCAGTCACACCACCCCCTAGCTGGCAATAGTAAGGTATGCTTCTCAGTGTTACATCGTGCTGTAGCATGTCTGTCAGTAATTGTGTATTGGATCCAGCTAAGGGCAGGGTGGTACAAGAGGGAAATCTGAGTCTGGACCGGGTGACTTGTCCCTCCCAATGGCTGCAGGATGGAGACACAGCGGCCAGCATCCACAAAGCCTCCCCGCGGCTGTGCATGGTGTTTAGGAAGCAACAGCTCTTCCCACTCGGCTTTGTACTGCAGTAATTTCAAGACAACTTCTGTTGACTGCAAACATTAACATTGCTTCAGCTAGTCTCACATTCTGGTGTGAGTGTCTATCACCATAAAAAGATCCTCTATGTCTGTTTCTTGTCTGTTTTTAAATATGCAGTCGTGCAGTCATGCTGCCCGTTCCTGCTGAGCTTTACACTTAACTACTTGTAAGTACAGAACTGATATGACTGTGAAAAAGCACTGAAAATGGCACAGGCTGTGCTCAGGAAATATGCCAGTTTAAACACATTCAATTTGACTTCACTTCTTGTGGAAATATAATCCCTTACATTTCTATTCTTAAATTTCTCAATTTGATTTCTTTCTTTTTTTTTTATACAGGGTGAAAAAAAGATCAGATTTAATAGGTGCCTTTAAATTAGAACCTCTTTACCTGCAGCATCACCATCAGGAGTCTGGTAATTTTACAGTTAAATGAGATTATTATTATTTTGTTTGCACACTGATATTTAATGGAAAAAAAAGGACTTAAGATGAAAACTGAAATTCTTAAAACAACCTAAGTTGTTTAGAAGCCTATTTCCATTTTCTGAGTGCCTGAGGGAGTTAAGCTTATTAAAGTGCAAGTATTTGTCTAATGAGATTTTAGTTAGTTAAAAGCAATAGAAGGAAAGTAATTTTATAAAGTAATTTTATAAAAATATTATTTTTTTGTATTGGGATTTCCCCAGTTCCAGACTTACCACTGATTCTTTATAGGAGTGTTGAGAAAATTCTTTATGATCTTTTGGCTGTCAGATAAACATATGACTGGGTGCTGTGTATCGAGTTCCTTAACCTGCCTTCCCCAACATATCGTTCTCCAGAATGGTTTCAGGATCTGGTTTGGTTTTAGAGTTGCTAAAGTGTGTGACTTTTTTCTTAGCTATTTGTGTAATCTCTGATTCAAATTTTTCGAAAACCCATGTAAGGAGCAAAAACTCCCAGAAGCCACAAAGAAGACCCTGTCTCTGCTATATTTTTGAGTGATAGCTTTCTGTGGCATTATCCTGTAGCTCTCATGTTCTTACACAGGCTGTAGAGAAAAGCAGTAAGAGTGGACTGTCTGTCTTGAACAAAATGCTCATGAAAGCTCTTCACAAAATGCTCACAAAGAACTTACGAATCTTAGGCTCTGTACAAAGCTCCTTAATGGATTAGTGCTGCTCCTGCACATACCTCGCAACTGCAGAGTGATATTTGCCATCTTGAAGCCCATTTTTACACATTTGGTTATTAACTGAATAATTGTGAAGAAGGTCACAGCAGTGCAGTGTCAATGTGGTGGAAGTTCTCTCATAACTTTCTCAAGAGGGTGAATCATATGTCTTTGCTCTTACCATGTACTCAATCTCCTATTTTTCCTGGAATTGCTGGTGCTGATCTGTGTTCGGAAGTGTATCCTGAGTACTTTTATCTTCTCTCTGTTATGGCTGTGAACTCCTTGACATTTAAATTAATACCATCCAAAATTCCACCATTCACTAAAAAGCCCTAGGAAAAATGAATTCCCATGCCTTAATCCTGAACTGGCATAAATCTTGCATTTTATTCCTTTCATCCATTTCTAAGCAATGCATGTTCACCCTCTAAAGGCTAGAATTGTTAAGAAAAAAGTATGTACTTTTTTTTTGCCTTTTTAAATGAAAAATACAAGCTACAGCAAATACATTTAAGGCACAAGCTTTTACTTTGCATACATTAAAAATATTTCTCTTCAGGAGAAAAAAAAATCCAACCTTAACTAAAGGGAAAATATGTTCTTGGGACAACTGATAGTGCTGATACAAGAACCTTCAGCCTTCCCCAAGTTAAATAACACCAGAAGAAAACCAAGCCTTTCTTAAAAGTAGATGCTATTAGTAAGGCCACCTAGTTGACCTGAAAACTTTATCACCCCAGTTATATAAAAAGTTGTTCAGCCTTCATCTTGCCTTCAGAAGCAGTGAGAGCATGTTATATGATCTGACATAATGATTTCAAAGAGATCAGCTGATTAATAGCAATCTAGTAATGCTAATTTTTTTCTATTCTCTATTCTCATTTAGTATCAATTTTTGCAAAGAGTTGGACAACACTTTTCAAATGCAAATGCCTCTAGTTAAACTTCCAACCCACGCTTATGCCTTGAATAAACATAGTCAAATTTGGTACAAATTTACTACACAAAGGTGCTACACTCCCTATTGATCCCTGTGTGATTTATGAGATGTCAGCACTCCTGGAAGTATGATTTCTCTAATGGTGGGTCTTATTTTCTGAGTATGTCTCAGGTCTGAGAATTCCTATCATGGTTTACAAAGCAAATGAAGTAGTATTTTTGAATTCACTTATCTCTCACTCAAGAATTTAAATGAGCAGAAAAATATCTCTATCTGTGAGCAATTACTCTTAATAACCATATGGCAATTATGCGTGTCCCCAAGGGGAAAGTCTTTATTTTGTCATTAATTATAATTTTATGTGATTTGCATCATCACACCAGGAAGATTATACTAGCTTGTCTGACAGCCCAGGATATAGGTCAAATCCTAATGGCAGTGTTAGAAGAATGCAGCTTTATACTTCATTGTGAATACCACATGTGCTCCCACAATGCAATTCCTCCTGCTTAAATACAGATGTAAGACTAAGGCTCATAATCAAGGAATCAAGGACTAAGCATTGATTACATTCTGCTTCACAGCTTGTGAAAGGCGTTGTTGTGCATCATTAGACATAGCCCCTTGCAGGAGCGTAGGATTATTTATCTGTCACCAGTTGCTTTCCTCTCTTTGCTACCAGTCTTTCAGCTTTCAAACAGAAATGGCTGCTACAATGCAGAAGAATATGAATGTTATCAGTTTACCTCATTACTAAGCTGAGACAACCACATTCATTTCCTGAAGTCGGGGAACAGGTTAATGATTGTTGGTTGCTGTGTGGGTTTGTTTTCTTTTACCACCTGGAAACCAACACAGTAACAGGTTAAAGAATCCAATGACTATCTGTTATGGGGAAAGAAGGACCATGTTTTTTCCTATGTTTTGGCTGCATAGATGAGAGAACATCAGCAAGAGAGCTTGTAACACAGGAAATAGTCCTTTTTTTTCTGGTTTTTTTTATTATCTCCTAGGAAACATAAAGTCTGAAAATTATGTAAATGACATAGACTGGTCAAATTCAGAAGCTACAGTTCTATATAGTACCTTGCAGTTCACAATTCGAGGAGCACTTAGAATTTTCCCTAGGAATTTAACTACATACTTTCCCATGAAGCTTATACTCCATGCAGAGTAATAAAGCAGAATAAGGAAGCTAAGCAGATGTTTCCTAAAGAAATGCTTTAAATTTTACATCTGTTAAATTTCTGTCACTGACTTACAGCAAGTAACTAACCATGTTACAATTTCCTTTACTATGAAATCAGTTTAATTACCTTATTACAATAAAAGGTAGATGTGTCTTGACACTGTGTGTTTATATAAAGGATAATTAATAATGCCTTCTACTTGCCTCCCTGGACTGCTTTGTGGCTTGGTCAATCTGTGTTTGTAATGTGCTCTCACTACAACAGATGAAAAGCCATAAAAAGTACAAAATAATATTGTCCAAGCAGGAAGAGGTCAAATTCTGAGTCAGTTTTTCCAGTCACTTATTAGACATGCTGAAGAATTAGCAACAAATATATGTATGAGTATAAAAGGTAGTTAGAAGTGGATTATTTTAAGAAGTGTTACCAGTTCACTAGGGTAAAGGTGATGACATTTCACAGCAGAGAATGAGTGATGAAGTAAGTTCGGGGATTCTGCAAATTGTTTTCTGTACAAGAAGAAAATAAAAATAGTATTTGGTCTGTCATCTCCACAGCATCTGCACTATAAAAGAAAGGAAAACTCTTTCTTCTCTAAAAGCGCCTAATTTGTTAGTGGCATATTCTGACTAGCTAAGGAATAAAGATTATTATAAGCACCTTAATTTAGCATGCTGCCAACTATCCTACTAGTTATTTAGTGGTCCTGTTGATACTGATGATGCTGAAATTTATAGCGGATGTAAACTATAGCTAAGACACAGCTCTTTAATTAACATTAGAATGATTGAAGGCTTTGGCTATTGTGATGATGCAACGTGAACATTTTTTCTTTGATTTCTAGGTCTTGTAACAGATTATCGGGTAAGTACAGCATCAGTGTAATTATTAATACTATTACTTGTATATACTGGTATTTTCATGACTTTTATTTTCCATTACTATCATAAATCTCAAAAATTTGTGTTTCTTTCCAAGAAGGATGCAGCTTGCTAAATTTTCAACATTCCTCAAACTGAAATGTTAAACTCTGTTTTTTGAAAAACAAATTGTTTAAAGGCAGAAATTGTCTTCATGTGCAATATCTCAAGGTTCAGGCAGTAGAAAGAAATGTCCTAAAGTTGTGGGTTTGTTTTTTTTTTTCTTTAACATAGTGAGTATCACAGTTTAAAAATAAAATTAAAAGCGTATGCATTTTAATCCTTAACCCATGGAAGCACTGTTGCTTTGAAATGGAAAATGGGCCTGCCATTACAGATGCCAGCCCCACAACTGCAAACAAGGCAATGTAACAAGCTTCTAAGATACTTATTTTTCTAAAGCCTTTGAGGAGAATTCAGAATGCACAAATGAAATTTGATTTGCCATGTGACCCTTCCGTTCTGACACCATGGCATTAAAACAGGCCTAGATATTTCTACTATTACTTGACCCACCTCTAGGAACTGCCTGTGGCAACGTGGTTCACTTCAAAACCATTACAGAATGTAGTTTCTGCTGTCGCACTGCAACGGTGGCTCCTAACACGGGTGCCCTCTCTTCTCGTTGGTTGCAGCACTGGCAAATCCCCCTGGGCAGGAGGTTCCGCTCCCTGAAGCTTTGGTTCGTGCTGAGGATGTACGGGGTCAAGGGGCTGCAGGAGCACATCCGCAAGGTGATTTGCTTTCTTGGGTAACTTGTGGTGGGAAGGCAAAGGAAAGCGAACTGGCTGGCTGCCTGTCTTCTTTCCATGACTTCTGTACACATCAGAAAGCACAGGCAATGGTCTGAGGCAGCTCAGTTCAACAGCTGGGGCTGCTTCTTTGCCCCATGTAAGGTCACAATTCCACATCATGGCAGGGTCAAAGCTGTCATCCATTTTATGTTAATCTTTAGGGAAGACAAGTCTAGGAATTTGGAATTTCTACAATATGGGACCATAGTTCCCTCATGATTAAGCCGGAGCACACTCATGGTTTTATTGTGGAAACACGTGTATATTCATTACTTCTTTATCTTATTAATGTGCATGCATTGATAGCATACCATAGATTATGATTAAGGGATATGGTGACTTATTTGGCATGTCTACTGCTGCTGCTGCTTTTTTCCTGTTTAAAATGCATTTTTATTAAAAAAAAGAATGTGTACAATTTACAGTTTGTTAACATTGTTATAAGTACTAAGTTTATTCTTGATGTAAAAAGAAGGGGGTTTTAATCACTAAAAGAAACATATGGCGCCAGTCTAAATTATATATATACTTCCTCTGTAGCAGTAAAGTCAAATTCAAGCATACCTTTCATCTTTATGAAGTTTAGGGAAACTTCTAGTTAGGGGAGATCCATGACTTGGCTCTAAATATTTACAAAAATATCCATTAGCTAAAGGTCTGGTCTAGCATACCAGTGTCCCTGCAGACACAAATTTAGTACTACATATTGGAGTACTAAGCAGAAGAATTCCTAAAAAAGACTTTTTCTGCTCTTGTAAAATCACTGTGTGAGGAAGTCTCTTTTGATTTGGAAGTCTCTTTTGATTTGGAAAGGTTCGGGGATGGAGGGTACTCTCTTTGCTTCTTATTTTAATCACATTATAATTTTCAATGGACTCTCCAAATATCAAAATTAGGTTTTTATTATTAATGAGGCTTTCAGAAATACATTTTGGCAGCTATGGAATCCTGATGTACAGTCATCCTTATGTCAATCTGATATGTATCCTCCTGATGAAAAATTGATATGAGGTTTGTTATCACTTTATTTTTCTATCATTACCATTCCCGGTAGTATTCTCTCTCAGGTTAGATTTCTGAAGACTATATTTATTTCAGTATGTTACCAAGTTTTTAAGTAGGGCTAAATCTCTCACTGGGAAAATGGGTTTGGAAGCCTCATATCAATTGCATGGCCTTCGGTTTTCCACAGATCAGTATTTACATTCAACAAACTCCCTCTTTCCATGTCTCTCAGATATTTCTCTGACTGTCCAGCCATATAATCACAGCTGAAGACCAAGTTTTGATATTTGAACAATACAGTTCAGGAAGGTTAAGCAAATGAATCTTTTCTTAAAAATATTGATTCCAAAATAAAACCTTATTTGTGAAGGTAATTTAGATAACTAGATTTCCAAGGGCTTGTAGAACTGAGTGTGTATGTTTTATATTTCATTAAGGACTACATTGTTCTCCATTGTAGATATAAAAATAAGTTATGATAATTAAGTGCAGAATTTGGCTTACTGTATACTTCTTCAAACTGGAATCATTAATTTCTCCTCACCCCCTCCTCATTCCCCTCAATGAATGCTGGTTTGATTCAGTGGGATCCAGAGCATCTTTTTAAAAAAAACCCAGTAATTTCTATCTCCAGCAAGCCTCTTTGAACTTAAATTTCAATAAATAATTGCATTTAATTTTCTCCCTGCTCGAACAGAATTTAAGATATCTCTTGTGAGTTTTCAGACATGATGGTAAAGTTATATCAGTAGCTGCAAAATAAAAATTAGAAATGTGTTTCATATCTTGCACATTTTACTCTTGGGAATTATCGTGAGCTCCAGATACACTGTGATGGCTTTACTTTGGATAGAGTAGTAATGAAGTATGTAAACCAGCCTGACACTGGTTTATATTTTCAAACCCATATATAAATTTCCAAATTAAAAGTAATTTTGAATTTAACTTTGCTTGTTAATGCACTTTAATATCGCTCATCCCAGTGCCTGGCCTTGAAAAATTGCTTTCTTTTAAACATGTTGTAGCTGACCTTTTAAAAATCCCAACATAGATCCTGTGATCACCTAGGGGAAAAAAAAAAAAGGACACTTGAGTTGGAAAACTGTGGGAAGATCTATGCAGTGTTTATAGATTTCTAGTTAGGCTTCTTTTGCGCAGCCAGATAATACTTACAAAGTGATTTGAGATTTCAAATAGTGATGAGCTTCTGACATGATATAGAGGGAAAAACCACTTGTATGTCCTTAAGAAGCCACCCTATTTGTTGTGTAATTAGCAAGTTTCTATATGGAAAACTAAAGACATCTGCAACAGTCTCTTCATAACCTTTTTTTTTCCTGGATCTAAACTGTCACAAAAATTATTTGTCTCTTTCTGTCTTCTTTTCTTCCCCTCTTTTATTAGTATGTTTTAAGAAAAAGATGTTTGTTATCTTTGCAGCCTTAAGGTTTACATCAGATGACTCAATAACCACTGCAACCTGGCACTTGCTTGAGGATGGCATTTAGGAACCAAAATATTCCTGGGACATGAGAATGTGTGACTTGGATTTAGATACAGTAATTTTTTTGTTTTCCAAACATTCGTTATGCACTCCTCTCACACACAGCATGTAATATTAACCTATTGCAAAGTATAGGTTTCAAAGCAGTGATAAAGTGGAGGGCAGTCATCTCTGAAGGATGTGGGGAGAGACAAATACAAATTTTGGAGGTAAGTCCCAAAGCCACAGAGGAGATGTACAAACAGGGTGAAACCAACAACAATAACGGATTTCTGGACTGATTCCAACCACTCCAAGTCAGTATAAATGTGAAACTCAAATGGCCCATTTGTAAATGGCCCATTTGCAAACTGCTTGACCATGTATTACTCCTTTGTTGGTTTAAGTCCTCTCCAAGAGCTCAGAAGTAATCTGAGAAATTTAGGAGTTAGCATGCTTTTGTATGCAATCTCTATGAACATTATGACTCAGTTGAATTCTCCTTAGGACCAGAAGTCATCAGATTACACATGCTTCTTTCTTCACCAAGGATAATGAATTCCATTAAAAATTAACAGCAGAGTCCAAGAAACTGGAACTGTAAAGAACAGCAATGCCAGACATAGCATTTCAACAGGGGAGTGGCACAGTCCAAGTGGCTATTGAGAAGACTCTTTTGACAGCATTTTCCTTCAGAGTGTAGTGGGATGCAAGCTAAGGCAGGCAAAGAGGTGAAATCTGTAGGAGGAAAAGTATGAAGGGATCACGACTAGGCTGGTGTGCTCATTTGCATGTACACAGTAGTGTACTCTCATGCTTCAGAGAAGGCTCCTGCAATTAAAAACTGTTTTGGCTCTTGAAGGCTTTGCCCAAAAATTAAAATTCAGTTTAAACATTTCAGTGGAGAAGGATTCATATTTATATTCACAAATACACATACAGAAATACAGATTTTTAAAATAGGGACCACATCTTAATGCCTCACAAGTTTTCTGCTCCTATTATTGATTATGGAAGACATTTCCCTTAATCCTAAATAACCAAATTCATTAGATCTCTCTGTTGTTTCCCTTCTCACTGAAGAAGAGCAAGGGTTATTTACCTGAGATAATAGTGACACATAAAAATTCCTTACAAGTTTCTTTTCTTCAATCAGGTAACTTTCACTGTGAAGACCAGGGCTGATATTCTGTTCCTGTATAGCAAGACATTTCAGGACACTAATACTGTCCATGTGATTCCACTTTGAGAACCCATGTGATGAAGGGATTGTCCAAATCTCTAAATCATAGAATCACAGAATGGCTTGGCTTGGGAGCAACCTTAAAGATCATCTAGCTCCAACCCCCCTGCCATGGGCAGGGACACCATCCACTAGACCAGTCTGCTCAGATGATACTGCTAGAAACAGTACGTGAGTTGGTTTGTGTATGTCCACTTTTTTTCTCAAGTACATGACAGTGTTAAATAAAATAAATTTGAAAGATTAAATAATATTTGAATGCCAACTTTAAGTTAATGGTGCTAGGGACACAGCCTGACACAGATGTCAAAATCAGAAGCACTTGAAGGGTTAAAATATCCAGGATTGGTATGTACCCATTCAGCAGAAAATTGAGAACAGCCTATCAGTTTTTTACCTCTTCTTCCCTCCTATCCTTAGTTGCAGTGCCTGCAGTTCTACAAACAAGACTTTATTTTCACAGTGTTGTCTTGAAAAGTTGAAGCACTAAAGCCACACGTGTCCTCCTGAGAGTTATTGCAGTGCTCATGTCCAGAGTGTGGGTGCAGCTTTTGGGCTCACAGAGGAAGGTGTGATACCTAAAAGCCCTTTGGTTTTACAGAGTTTGAACTTCCAGGCTTAATAATATTTAACTTTACTGTTGTGGCAATCTTGGTAAGAGCAATTCAGGACAATAGCTAATAGTTCAAAGGTGCAGGGCCTTGGGTAACTGTATTTAAGCAAAGCTTTCCATGTTATATCATCACTTTCTCTCCTTCCACTTCTGTAAAATCTAAAACTCTTGGTGCCCCCCAGTGTCTTTACCAATTATTGCTACTTTTTAAGACTAGCCATGAATAAAAGTACTTGCATCCCGACATGAATCCGAAATACTTTTTAAGTTTTGTTTTGTGACTTACTGAATATTTGCTATTTTCCCTTGCTTTTATTTCTTTCAAATTCCTGAAACATCCTTTAGTGCAAAAAGTGGGCATAAATACCAGCTATTAAATGTACAGGATGGGTCCAGAGCTTTCTTGTACAAACTTCTCGCAGTAAGCCAAATCTTAAATTTTTATTTTATTCAGTTCTTACCCAGATAAATTTTGATGAAACACAGTTGATTACGTTCAGCTGAACAGTTGTGAAATTCTCATCTCATTAAACATGATCTGTTTTATGGCTTTGATTTCCAAGACATAGTATATGCAGCGTGGAATTTTGCAGAGTCTTTTAACATGCTTGGTTAAAGCTATAGAACATGAGGATAGGAGACAGTGAAAGACCATTACAACACAGATGCCTATTTAACATATGTTTTCCATGCATTTATGCATACAAGTATCTATATGTATACAGATACTTCTTGTCGGTTTTCATAGCCGTAAACTTACGCTCTTCATATTAGCAGAACATTCAAATGCCCTGAAAAGGACTGGGCATTTTATTGGTCTCATTCCTGGCTCAAAGAGCTTTTAGGCTAATTTTAGAGGGAGATGTTAAGTGAATGTAACAAACAGCAGAGAGGAAGTGGTAACAACAGGAAGATTGGCTGGTTGTGTAGGGTACCAGTATGCCCAATGTGAAGGTTTTGAAGCAATATTTTGATTCAATATAAACTGTGTTTTTCTATTTGAAGAAATAAAAAACCATCAGAAAGCTATGATTAAGATTGCAAAATGTGTTGGTTTCTTTTTCTTTTTTTCTTTTCTGTAATTTCTGTTTTGCTTTATTCTTGTCCTTTTGGAAGAAGTTCCTGTGAGATGAAACATTCCACATTTAACCCTGGCCCAAAGTGAAATATTTCATTTTGGTTTGATATCTGTCCTTGAACTTGCAAAACGTCAAAGTGCAAAAGCAAAAAAAGACATGGGCTTAGTTGTTTATTTTTGTAAATTTTTTGCAATAATAAATATATCAAAGCTAAAGAACCTTTTAACATATTGTTTAGATGTTTCAGATAACGTGGTGTAGACAGGCTACTGCATGAAGACAACTGTTATTCTAATAGCTGGTTGCTGTTGCTGTGTTACCTTTTTTTTTTTTTTTAGGGTAGTGAGGACTAAGCTGGTGTTATAGCCAGTGAGAGGGGAACTGGATAGGTACTGCAGGTACCTGATGAGGATATAGGTTCTTTTCTCCCAAGTAGTTTTGAATTCATTTTCTGTTTGGAAAAAAACAAAGCCAAACATGGTATGAGCACTCAAGTATCACTGACTGATGTTAAGAATTCTCAGCTGGTTGGTACCATGCCTGTTGATATTTTTCCTATTTATTTGACTTTGGAAGAGCACTGGTTTCCTATGCTTCAAAATACTTCATCTGGCTTGGTGCCCAATGTCGTTCTTTTTTCCCCAGTAACTTATCAACAGGTTTGCTGAGATTTGCTATTAATTTTCCTGATTATACTGCCATCACCTTTCTTTTCAACTGAAGCTGAGCACCCAGGCCAGAAGACTGAGCAAGTTCTCTCCTTCTTCACAGATACCCATTAAGTTAACTATTCTAAAAAGTATATCTTTCCAGCTTAATTTGCACTGGAATTGTGACAATTTTTTCTCTCTGTATCTGTGCGTTTCCCCTTTCCCCTCTAAAGTCTTTTGGACTCTAGCCATTCCCAGCCCAAACTGACAGTGGTAGAAAACCTAAAGGAGAATTATTAAAATTATTTACTATTAATATGGTATCATACGAAATTGTGCTGAAATGTCTCATTAAGAAATAGGCTAGTACTGCCTAAGATAGTCTGAGCTAATAATATAGTAATGGCTCAGTATGGTCTCTGTAAGTCATAAATGGGATGTAACTTAACATAAACAGATGGTGACACGTGAATATTATCACATATCAGAAGAAGGAACAGAGAAAAGGAATGGAAAATACTTTAGCAAACCTTTTCTCTTGATGAATCAAATTTATACAACATAGATACCTTCTTTCTCTTCTCAGCACGTCAGGCTGTCACATCAATTTGAACACTTAGTCCTTCAGGATGGAAGATTTGAGATCTGTGCTGAGGTTGTCTTGGGACTAGTCTGTTTTCGGCTGAAGGTAAGACCTCCTATTTCTTCTGTCATGTTTTATAGCAACACAATAACATGCAATTGAATATAATCTTTGTAATTCATATACTTGATTGTTTTTTAAGGAAAGCAAAGGGAGTTCATGTAGAACAAAGCAGATTAAAAGCTTAAGACAATTTTGTTAAAACATGGAAAATTGAAGCAAGATATGTATAAGAACAGGTTACATGGGAGGCCACCTTCCCAAGTGCCCTTGGCCCTGGTCTGCTTTTTATTGCTGAACATGATCCTTTTGCCCCGCTTGGCCTTTTATACTCCAGAATCTCTCAAAGTACCAAGTTCATTGATGTGGAGACCTTGCCTGACAGAAACTAGAAAAATCTCACTCTGCATTCAAAGCATAAAAGCTGCAGTAACTGGGAGGGCTCATTGTTTAATCAGACACTAGAAGGGGACCGGTGTCTTATTTTAGGTAATGAACTCATTTCATATAGGAGCTTGCAACTAAAGCCTTTGTAAAGGACTGGATTGGGACACTGAATCTGACCACCAAGCAACAATGATAATAGCACTAGTGTTTTCTAGTTCACATGATACCTAAATTAGCTTTTAGCTTTTCTGAAGGCTTGCAAGCACATTTTGGCTCCTTCTGGGTAGTGTGGTATTACTGTTTGTCACAAATTCTTTCACCAGTCATTCAGTTGCCCCAGTTACCCGAGTTTGATGCAACTGGCTGAAGAAGCTAACAAATCTTTAACAATGAAGTAATGGTGAATTCATATGGAATTGGAAAATTGTTTGTTTTGAATTTGTATTGTTCAAAATAAAAGGAAAAAAAGAACTGTCCCTACAGGATGAACAGACTTGAGAATGTGGAGTTTTTTCAGTAAATAGAAACGTGAATATAATATCTTTCTTAACAAGAATTTTAAAAGATTTTGAGGAATAGGTTCTGTGGCTTTTATTGTGCAATAACAAGATGTTGGTTGCAGTCTGCTCTCTCACATGGAACAAGCAAACACTAGTTTTGCAGATCCAGAGACAGCTGTTAGTCAGTGCTCTACATTTACTTTAAAGGAACAGTCCTGGTGAAATAGAGCATAGCAACACAGGAATTGTCAGTTTTGATCAGACCAGTAGCTCATCTACATCTGTTCTCCTGTCCCTGATGAGGAAGAAATTACATCTCCAGGGAAAGACAATTTTCAGTAGGAGGTAAATATTGAACCCCTAGTTAAGAAAGTTTTGGAAAAATTGTAGAATAAAGGCCTGATTCTACTGAAAACCAGTGTTGAAAAAGCAGTGTTTTCATTGCTTGCCTAACTGGTCGAGAAAAAGAAAACAAAGCTAACAAGCTTTTAAATAAAGATGTTTTTATGGCTATTTTTGCAGCTTTATTTCCTTTTTTATACCACTCCTTGAAAAATCTTCCTGTGATTTTTATAATTCTTATTAAAATGCATTTTAGAAGCAGAATATTTGTAACTTTTATGTAATTACAGTAGGACTATGGGTCAGGAGACTTGAACTATATAACACTGCACAGCTGTAAAACTATGAAATATTTTTTCTTCCTTCCTTTGTTCTTGAGAAGCCCTTTTTTATATATTTTTGCCTAGCTGTAACACTCGATTTTTTGCTTTTCACACTGTGGAGCAAATGGACTCATTACCTATGACTTTCATATTATAATTATTACATCAAATGTATCATGCCAAAGGGTTAGTTTTTGGCCTCCTTGTCATGACTGCAAATGAATACAAGTCAAGCTAGTCATTTCTCCAAGGGAGTAAGAATGCTGTCTTATTGAAGCTCACAGACTCAATCAAAGCTGGCTTCTCAAAGCTCTGGGAGAGGATTAGTCACTACTAACTTCAATTTGACGTGACACTTGAGTGTCACAGCAGCCCTAAGGTGGAGCTGTGAGAGTAGAACAGAAGAAAGATACATGAATCTTTCTCCTTCCTCCCCTCACGCCTGCCAGCTTAACATCGTGTAGCTGCTGGTATTGCCTAAAAGTCAGTGCTGTGCATTTCATATTAAAGGCAAGGATTGTCATTTCAATAATGTATTACCTTTGATAAGAAAGCAGGACATCATTGTCAACAGTGACTGACCTGTAATAAATGGGGACTTGCAAACACCGAAGTTGTTCCATTTTCTTAGTTAGGAGCATTCCAGTTGCATAAATGTCTCCTAGAAGAGTAAGGCTAAGCCATGAATTTCAGGATGTCATACAAAATTCCAAAGAACTTGTGCTAAGTCAGAACAAGGTTTTGACTTCAGTCCAACTCTCTCTCTTAATATGATCCAAAAACATGAAAATTATACATTTATCCTTACTGCCAATGGGAAACTGTCTGCCTTATGCTTTGGTTTTATATGGAAAAGGCTAAGCAGGAGTCACAACTGCCCAGATTTGAGAGAAGGTGTTTTCTGATACAGATGTTTTCAAGAAGACCTATGCTGCTACAGTAACAAAATTGCTGCTGAACAGATGGATTGGACCATTTGTGCTCTTTTACCTCAGTGTTCAGTAAAGAACACTGCAGGAAAAGCGCAGATGCTCCCAGAATCTCTTGCAATTTCGTTACTTCAAGTGTAATAGAAAGAGTAAAGGTTGTGCAATAGCTAAGATACTTCCCCAAAGGATAAACTTATAGCACTCCAGATCAACCTGATATATCCTAAACTATTATAGCAAACTGTCCAGCAAAGCTGGAGCCATCTCTCAGTCTACTGATAAAAAAAGTAGACAGACGGGTTCCTTTAATTTGGCTAACAAAGACTGTCAAAGATATGTGGCTAGCACTTCACCCTGTGATGTTAAATCTGACAAAAATCCCAAGATTTTGGGGATGTCTTCATTCATTCTTTTCATTTAAAGTGATTTACTACTGTTTTTGAAAATCTGATGACATCTTTTGTTTTATTTCCAAATGCTGATGGACATGATCAGGAAAACCATTGATTCAACATTAGCTGGACCTGTAAAAGAACCAGTAGTCCTCACCTTCACTGTTTGTGCATAAGGAAAATTAAGTACATTAGAAGGAGATGAAATTCAATAGTGCATGCATGTAGAGTCTTTCTGACCTTCTGCAAGACATTTAACATTTATATCTTTGTTTCTCGAATGCAGAAGACTGTTTACTTCCAGTGGGTGGGTCAGTTTACCACATTTCTAAATTCCTTCACACAAAAAAAACACTCTGTAGGATTCTGTGGCGGACACTTCCTATAGAATTTCAGGCAAATGCCTTTTTAGGGCTTCCACTGATAGTACGAAACTTATTTATGCCAGGGACACATTACCTTAGCAATTTCTCAATTAAGGGTAAGATTTCCATATTCAAATTCAAAAGACTCTTACAGCAGCCACGCTTAAGGGAAGACTGAAAGGTTTGTTTTACCAACGTTAGTATAGCTCATTGCAAAACTTCCTCCCTTGTTTGTTTGATTAGATCCAAGAAGAGTGTAATGACATGGATACAATAATGAATGCTTTTACATAGCACATGACCTTAGGTCGCAAAAAAAGCACTCAGCTATAACAAATGCCCCAGTGTGAGCACTGCTTCTAAACCCAAGGTAATCCATAAATCTCTTTGTAACTCAAAAGTTATCTCTTACACTGTCATCTTTTTGTAATGCTTTGATAGCAAAGCACTGAGAGAAGAGAAAATGGCTGTTTGTTACTGGTGGTACTTGGGCTTGGCTGCTTGGTAGGATTTACATATTCCAGACTTGCTTCTGAAATTCATCCGCATATCTATTGAATTACAATGATTTCAGGGCTCAAATAAACTAAACGAGGCACTTCTTAAAAGCATTAATGAGGCCAAGAAGATTCATCTGGTCCCATGCCATCTGCGAGAGAAGTTTGTGCTACGTTTTGCTATTTGTTCCCGCACAGTGGAATCCACCCACATCAAGTTTGCCTGGCAGCACATCTCACAGCTGGCAACTGATCTTCTGAAAACATGGGAGCAAAACCACCAACAGGAGTAACAGCAGTGAAGTACAAGTAGAGATGAGGTAATTAACTGGCTTTCTCTGTGTTGCCAAGTTTTATTTTAGGGGCAGGTGGGAAAGTAAAATTAAGAAGGAAAAAGATATAAAAACTGTTGTTACATAGCCCAGCTGCAGTAGCAAAATCCTTGCCAGCAAGTTGCATTGTAATTTTTATTTACTGTAGTTTCATCTTGCCTGTTTCCAGGATGCACATAGCCAAGGAGACTCGAGCTGTCATTTCTTACCTGTTTGTAATCAAGATCATTTATTCAACCAGGCAATGGAAACAGAAGGGTTAGTGCTCCCTCTGTTGTCCCCACACTCCTCTAGCACACCCACTCCTTCCTTCACAGATGAAACGGAGAGGTCTTATAACCAATGAATTTGATGTTACTATGGCTTCAAAAGAAATCCAGTTTGGGGAAGTTCAGTAACCTGTTTGGATCCTATCTAAATAGGCAAGCACAGATGTCATTGTTAGAATTTGGGGCACTGTCATGTCATGACACACTGCAGTAATTTTGTAAATGAACAAAGGACAAAGGACTTCAAGACTTCCTTCATTGCATAGCCACATTGAGGGGAGTGACCACTAAGTGAACACTAACCATCCTTCTGGCAGGTTCTCTACTTTCCCCTAAAGGGTTTGGTTTTAAAACAGCCATTTTGTCAAATATCAGCAAAGAGGTTATGCCGGCTTTTGGTTTCCACTTTGATCATTCATAATGAGGCCTCTTAAAAACTCTCGATGAAGAATTTTGTCAAAAGCCATGTGCTACCTGGCATTCTGTATTTTTAACCAAGTTACTATAAGCAGTGATTACTTGAAAATAATCTGTAAGAGATGTTCTGTGAAATTAAGTTATGATTACTTTTTATGGCTACTGTTCTCCTTACTTCATTGTGTAATAAATCTTTGAGAAAATGTGCTAAGAAATGTGATGGCAAAAAATGTTACTTTTCGTTTCTCAAATTAGCTAACAAATGTGTAAAAAAGTGACAATAAAAATAGAAATTAAGAGAACTAACACTCAAAATATGCAGTGGTTCCCTCTTCAGTGGTTTTCATCCAGTAACAGTGATATGTGGAATATGAAAATACTGGAAAACAACTTTCACAGAAAGTCAAATCACGTGTACTTGACACAAACCATTGATATGTCATCCTGTTGAAGGCAGGTACAGTAAAGACCTAAAATGAAAGTCAGGGGTAAAATGGAAGTCAGAACAATATTTGACTTTAAGAAGTACTTTTGCTGTTTTTAAAACATGGATTCCAGACAGTTATTTCTATGCAAATAAGAACAACCTACTTAGCTACTCCAAGAAAAATAATATGTAGAATTAATTTCTACATTTGCATTTTAATCTTCCTTTTACTGCTCATATTAACTTCTAAAACATTTTTAACAACTTGCACAATTATTCAGCTTTCTTCCTCCATGCCTTGCGAATATACTTCCTACGGCTGGGAAGTTGCAAGTACACCATGAAACATGGAATGGGACAGTTAATTTGGCACATGGTCTGCTCCTACCCACTGTCTTTCCAGAAGGGATTAACTAAATTGAATATGGACTGTGTGGATTTTTCTGTTGATTCTTAATCTCTCACATCTGAGGTGCAAACTAGGAAGGACTACTATTTCTTTAAGGAATTGATTTCCCAGAATGGGATGACAAATCAATCTAGCAAAACCCTGTAATATTCGAGGAGGTGACTCGGCCATTTCACAAGACACTCCTCTCATCTACAGTATCAGAAATTTTGATAGTATCATTCTATTTAGCAGAACCAATATGAAATTAAGCTTTGCTGTAGTAGCACAGTGCAATAGATTGGCAAACTGAAGAGAGTGGAAAATGCTGGCAGTTGTTTCCTTTCTCTATTAGTCTTTTTTAAAACAACATTCCTTCATTCTCATGACCTGGAAAACAATCCATAACACATATGATCCACACTGATACAATTTTACAACTTTTACATTATGAAAACTCTAGAATCTTGGAGCCAGAGAGGAATTACAGCTTGTTTATGAGACAGACCAGTATTTTGCATGTGAAATATATAACCAGGTCTGTCCAGGGATTAAAAAAAAAAAAAAATCAGATTTGGATCAAAACTATCATAGAGTAAATCCAGGATAATTCCACTGAAATGAAATGGAGTTGCTTTGGTGTTAAGTGACTGTAATTGAGATTAAAATGTGACTATTAAGTATTGGAAAAGAAAGGCATAAGGTAAGGAAACATTAAATTAAGCTTAAGAAGATTTTGGTGGAAATCCTTTCCATGGAAACCAGAGCAGAGGTGGATGATGCACACCTGTGTGAGCCTCAAACTGCTGTAAAACTGGGATGCAGGCAGGCTGCGCATCCAAACTCAGGAGGAGTGAAATGTTCCCAACAGCCCAGAAATTAGATATAGATCCCTCTAGACATTTGTGGGAAAATCTTGCCAAAATCAACATTCTTGCATTTTTCAGTATATGGGTATCAGTTTTAGAAAAGGCTGTTGTCTAGATACCAAAACTCCTGTTGGCAAAGAATTTAGGATAAAGATTAATTTAAAATATAAATACAGTAAAAGTTAATTTATTTAATAGAAGTGACACATAAATCTTCTAAAAAACAACAGTGACAAGACCCATAGAATTACATTTCCCCATGGCTAGCCCAATACAGAAATCTGAAGTTCACAGTTCTAGTTTTTCTGAAATTCTGAGGTGATTTGAATATGTAACTAGTGAAGGCCTTCACAGTATTCAGTCTCTAACACCCTCTTTTTCCCATGGGATAATTCCTTTGTAAACTATTAATGTTAGGTCATCTGAAAAGGAAATCTGGGCTATGTAATCAACTCAAGAACAAGTGTTGAAAAGAACACTTTGAAAGAAGAACATAACTGCTGTTCCTGTTCTGTAACTTTGCAACATATCTGTAAGTGAGAAACACTGTATTTATGAATAGTTGGTATGTTAACCTGCATTTATGGTGCCTTTTGTGCAAAAGCTAATACAGTCTGTGCCGATTAATACTGTTCGATATTAAAAATAATTACAAAATCTCAGAATTGTACTTTAGTAGAATACCCACAAGGACAACTGCAGCTATCAGAGAAGCGGGAAAAAAGCTAACTTTTCAGTAACAACAATTTATTTTTTTTAAAAGTAGCAGAGTACTAGTACAGTATTCACGTTCGTAATGACAGATTATATTTTATTACTGATGGTGAAATATTGAAAAGATATGTATTTATGAAAGTATTGGTAATGTATTATACCCTGAACTGCATTATAAATATTAAATTTCTAATTTACTCTTGCCTTTACAGATAAGATTCTGCTCATGGTTGTTGTTTTGTTGTTGTTATTGTTTCCTGAAAGGATAACATATGTGATGAGTAGTACTCACATTGCAGTTGCCTTACAGCAGCAGCCTAAACCTTGAGAGGTATAAACTTCAATTGCTCAAAGACAGAATGAGAAATAAAACTGAGAACTCTGATGACCTGGGTGGTTGGTGGGGGCAGATTAAATAACCATCAATAGATAATATCTACATAGCCTATGTAGAGTTTGTGTGACTTAAATGGAAAAATAATCAAATGCTTAATGCTCTAATTGTAATTTGTGAGCTGTCGACTTCCTTTAAAATCTGTGTCCAAACCCTGCTGAACAGACATGTAGTTTTTAATAGGCAACATTAATAAATAGAAACAAATCTATGATTATGATCTGTCTGTGTTCTTAAACAAGCTTTTCCCATCTTATTCATGCCAGATGTGCTGTAAGAGGTCCAACTTCCCCACTAATATCAAGTCAGTGCCCTGATTTTCACCATCGATCACTTTTTCCTCAGTGTGTCCTTCAAATTAATTACTTTGCAAATGGGAGTTTGCAAACTTTCCTGAGGGAAGTTCCTCCTCAGCAACATGCATCTGAAAAATACACGGATATAACCAGGGCCATGCCGTTCCTTCTCTAAAGTTCTGCACAGTCCTGCAGCTGGATCTGACACTGGAGCCAGCTGCCCAGCTTTGGCTTTGGTTTGCAGCTCCAGAGCCATCAGGTAGGACAGGGCAGGGGCCCATGTCATTAGTCCTGCCTGACTATGTCCCCAGGGGCAGCTTGCAGCTGCAGGCGCCTTCGCTCCCTGCCCATGTGCAACCCAAGGGAAATTGGGGAAGCATGCCTTGGGAAAAAATTGATGGCAGCAGTGTCACAAACTCTAAATGTTGGGTTTAGAGCCCAATTAGGTTAGCCCAGTTGGTTCTGAGATGATAGCTCACATACTAGCCCAGACAGTTTAATATGCTGTCTGCACTAATGGTGTAACAAGCTTAATGTATAACAAAAACCTGACAGTAACTGCAAGAAATGTTTCTCATGGGAAATTAAATGTCCACCCACACACAAGTGTCTATGTTAATACCAGAGGTGTAATTGGAGCTTAGTGTGCTAATTTGCATCTAGTTTGATGTGCTAATTTGGATGTGGGTTGGTGTGATCCAGCTAGGGACTCCACAATCAGATTCAGCACATGGCATACATCCACCTGGGCCACCATCTTTTGCCCTGCAAGGCATTGTGCCATTCATCGTGTCCCTCTGCCACAAAGTCCAGCTACTGCTGCTCAGACCTTCAGCAGAGTTGTTCTCCCAAAAAGGCCTGTCCAGCAGTTGTTGTTTCCAGGAGTGTTAGACAGCACCACTTTCTGACACTGCTGTGGTGGCCCTGCAACTGTGCCACGGGAGTGATGAACAGGTGGCTGTGGAGGTCGAGTGCTGTGTGCGAGGAAGGGTCGGGTGCCCATCGCTGACACCCAAGTCACGACGGCGGCCAGGGCTTTGTCTGGGCCCATCTTCCCTGGAACCTGCCTCTCATGGAGCTTGTCCTGCTCAGAGTGGGGTTGCCAAAGAGCGAGCCCAGGACCCAACTGCATGGACACCTCTGAAGAGAGCGAAGGGCACGCAGGGGGTCTTCTTACTGGGAGGAGAGGAAGGAACAGCGGGTAACTGGGGTGTGTTGATGAGAGGTTGCCACCCTGCTATTTTGAGCAGCCAGAGTCGAGTTTGGCACAGAAAGAGCCACAGCAATTCTGCTCCTTTGGTCACCGAACTGTGCACGGAGGCAAGGGCCTCCTCTGCCTCGCAAGAACAGTGCATCTCCATGTTAGCATTTCCCACCGCTACTGAAAATGGGCTGGACAGGCAATAAACGTGACATTCTCCAGCCTCTCCCTTCTCGGCCGCTCTAACTTCCAGCCGAGGAACCAAGCCTTCCTTTATGAGGAAAGTTTTTGCGAGGCGCGTGGCAAGAGCTGGCAGGCCGCCAAAGCCGCCCTGGGCAAGCTACGGCAGCCGGAACACCGACTCGCACACGCCTGCCGGGACCAGACGGGCGTGCCCGGGCCCGCCAGCGGAGGATTTAGCGGGGAAGGCGCGGAAGGGCGCGGGTGGGACGGGGGGGGCGATGGGAAGAAGCTGGGCGGCGGACGCAGGGCACACGCGCGCATCGGCCCGCGCGCTGAAGGCGGGACGGGCCCGGCCCCGCCCCCAAGGCACGGACCCCGCGCCCATTGGAGGGCGCGCGCCTCTGGCGCAGCCAATGGGGACCGCCCGCCCGCCCCGCCGCGCGCCTTCCCACCCAGCGCCTCGGCGAGCCCGATGACGTCACAATCGAGCCCGCCCCTCTCCCTCTCGCCCTCCCTTCCGCTCTCTAATTGGCTGCGTCTCGCGGAACCCTGTTACCTGATTGGCGGGTGGGACGGGGGCGGGGCTGGAAGCAGCGCGAGCGCGCGTTGTGCGCGGAGGCGGCGGCGGCCGGTGGGTGCGGGGGGCGCGCGTGGCGCGGGGCGGGAGCGGCGGAGCTGCGGGAATTCCCGGGCCCCGCGCAGCCCGTCTGGGGCCTGGGGAGGGGAGTCCCTTCGTCCCTGTGGAGGGGCCAGCGCCGCCGAGGAGCCCTCAAGGCTCCGGGGTCGGCTTTCCGGCGTGGTAAGAGGGGACCCCTCCGCAGCCAGACTCGCGAGGACCCCTGGGCTGAGGAGCCCCGGGCTGAAGGGCCGTGGCTGCCGGCGGGGCCGCATCGTCCTGTGCGCGCTGTGCTCAGCCGATCCCGGGCAGCTTCCCGCTGGGATTGCTGGCCTGCGGGCTATGAATGGGGGGTGTGCCCGTGTGATTCCCGGTGGTTCCCTGGCCTGCAGGCGGGCGTGCCTGCCCCTGGTGCGTCCTGATGTGCCTCTGTGTGCCAGAAATTCATTCGCGTCAGTGCTTGAATAAACCTCCTCCCAACTTCAGGCACTTACAGGGAAGTACGATGTCCTTGTCTGGGAACAGCTCCGGCTGAACGTGTGCGCGTTTGGCTGTCTCCTAGGGGAGAAATAGTGAGGCTGTGAGGACAAGTAACAGGGATTAGAATAGGGGGAGAGAATATGATACTAGGAGATACCTCAGAAGTATATAAGTGTCTAAAAGGAGGGTATGAAGAGAATGGAGCCAGGCTCTTCTCGGTGGTGACAAGAGGCAACTTATGCCCAGGAAGTTCCACCTAATGTGAGGTGACTGAGCACTGGAACAGATTGCCCAGAGAGATTGTGGAGTCTCCCTCACTGGAGATATTCAAGAGCTGTGTGGACACAGTCACAACGCACACAGCAACGTGCTCTGGGATGACCCTGCTTGAGCAGGGAGGTTGGATCAGATAACCCACTGTGTGCCCTGGCAACCTGACCCATTCTCTGATTTGGTGAAAAACCAAACTGAAATTTTAAACTGGCTACCACTGTTCACTTCTTACGACCTTCCCTCGGTGCTGTGAAGGTGATTGCTAAATCCTTAAGGGAGTGGTAGTGACCTTGAGGTTTTATTTTCTGAATCATGGAAGTTATGGGAATATTTCATGGGAGCAAATGCATGCTATTAAACTTTTTCTGAACTTAGCTTTTATGGTGCATAAGATATTTTTCATTCAACAGTTACAAAAAAGTTATGTGCACAGTGACAGCTGTTTAGTAGTTGTTTAGAGAAGTCTTTCATCTCCTGTTCAATCACCTGTCACTCAGCTACAGATGGATTATGATGTGAATTTACCCTGGATTCGGTAGGCAGAAGTGAGACTTCTTATGGTGCAAAAGATGGCAGTAATTTTTCAGAGAGAAAGTCTTATTTTTGTGGTAGTTATTTTGTTTGTTTTCATTGGATTTGGTTGTAAAGGTACCAGATTTGCAGGTAAAATGTGTTTTGACTTTTCTAAACAGCTCTACAAAGTTGGGCTGAAGTCTAAAAAAAATTCGAAAGAGAATGGTTTACCTACTCATTATTTATTATGTGTGTAAACCATATAATCATATGCACAATAATCATCTGTGCTTTCTGTTGTCTAATGCTGATGCAAGACTTTTAAAAAATAATTAGAGAGGAAAGGCCCCACACCCTGTATCCCTGTGTTCTGTTCTGTCTTCCCAGTCTTGTATGAACATTGGACCCGTACCTTCATCTGCAGTTGTACATAGTCTGTAGCTGATTCAGAAGAAGACTGCAAGTTGACTCATCCTCTGTTGGAAGAGATGCAGAATGTATGGACCTACTCTTTCATAGTTTTTGTTTTAAGTATTCCCTGTCTGGAATGTGCTTGTACATATTGAAGTTAATAAAAAAAATCCTATTAACTTACTGAAGTAAAAAAACCCTGGAAATTATATCCCTTATGGGCAGATGAGGAGATCACAATTACTACATTAAGAGCTTTCTGCAAACCCTGTTGAGGCAGCAGTAGGTTTCTCTTAATTTTTTTTGTTCCAGTGTCCTGTGAAATGATGCATTCTTGATGTTGCTTGCAATGTCTCTGCACATGATGCTTTGCAGAGGAAGAAGGTACATCATAAACATGAACAAATCAGATCTTAAAAAAATGCTTCTTCTGATCCAAATGTCATCTTTACTATTTCTTTAAGTAAAAAATCATTAAATTTAAATTCTTCTTTTTAAAACTGAGAAATAAGCATTACTTTAAATAGGCAAGAACTTTGTTTCTCTAAAGTGTAAAATGGGGACATTTTAGTGCATTCTAAATGAAATAGTTTTGAACTTGCTGTGAATCTGTAAATATTATCTTACTCTGAAAGTTTACCACACTCAGACTTATTCATTCTGCTTTTACCTCCCCTCAGAGACTTTGTGTATAATTTTGTTTATTAGCTTCATTGTTTCCTTTTTATTACCATCACTGTAATAAACAGTCATTCTGACAGCGGTGTATAATCTGTCCTCCTCTGCACTGTGCCTTATTCTGTCAAATAAGAGTGAAAGCACTGGTGATTTCATTTAACAAGGCCAATTTTTGCTTAGCCATCTGTTACCATTCTGTGCAGTCTACTTACCTCCCCAGGAGACCTCTGGTTAGCAGCACATTCTCTGCTTTTTTCTTCACCCCTCTCTTTTTTTTTTCTTCTTCTTTTCTTTTTTCAAACAGGGTAGAAAAGAGAACCTCAATCTAAATGCCTTTACACCACAAACCTGGTTGCTTTTTGAAAATGGCAAGGTGTCGGGACTGCCTGAGTATCTTGCAACATCTGCTGCACTGTTTCTCTAATTGAAATGTTATGTTATGTGTTTCATGTGCATGTGTTTAGGAAAGGGGAGAAGTAGCCTGTGCTGTGAAATCCATTTTGTAACTGCAGGTATTTTCTGTTCCAGTGTCAGTGATGGAGGCCCCCACCCCCAGCTCCGTGCACCTGAGTGACTGGCAGAGAAGTTACTTTGCTATTGCCTCTGACACCTGCACACCTGCACAGAAGGCAGATGAGTACCGTGCCAAAATCCTGCGCATTCAGTATGCATGGGCAAACTCTGAGATCTCCCAGGCCTGTGCTGCCAGCCTGTTCAAAAAGTACGCGGAGAAATACTCTGCAATTATTGACTCTGGCAACATGGAGACTGGCTTGAATAACTATGCAGAAAACATTTTGACTTTGGCAAAGTGTCAGCAGAATGACAGTGACAAGTGGCAATCTGCCTTGACAACAGATAATGTATTTGAATTAAAGTGTGTGCAAGAGAGGATGCAGGCTGGCAAAATTTTCCAGAGCTCTCAGATGGCACCAACAGATGCCTGTGTACAAGCTGATAAAGGGGTCAGTGCCTCCGCTGCTCCAGCTCTTTCTAAACTCGGTGTCTTAGGCAGTGCCGGAGAGACTGAGCTCTGTGCTGGCTCAGCAAAATGTGCAAGTCAGGGACCAGATCTCCTGGAGCATCCTTCATCTTCAAAGTCTCTTCAAAGCCGTGTGCCCCCTGTGACCAAAACTTCAGATACACTGCTTGCTGCTTCAGCCTCCTTAAGCAAAAGGGTTCAACCAGTTTTCCAGGCAACTCCACTGTTTGGAAGTAAAGAAGCCACAAGTAGTAGTTCTCTGAAAATGTCAGGTAACTCTTGTGATGGGCAAAATTTGTCTCTTTTTAACCAGTCGGCTCCACCTGCTTGGTCTGCAAGTTCTGGGAAAAGAAAAGCATTCTATGGTCTGGCTGATGAAAGCAGCACAGTTATCCCTAGCCTTGCTCCATGCCAGCCTCTCATTAGCACCGAAACCAGTAGTTTTTCAGGGCATAGAAACAGAAATGAAGAGAGCAGTGCTCCAGGTTTTAAAACTGCAAAAGAACAGCTGCGGGTGGATCAGCAAAAGAAATCTCAAAACCATCCCCAGCGTGCACCAGTCTCATCATATGGAGGTGTAAAAAAATCTCTGGGTGCAGGCAGGTCTCGGGGTCCATTTGGCAAGTTTGTTCCTCCAGTTCCAAAGCAAGATGGAAGTGAAAATGAAGGAGCACAGTGTAAACCTCACACAAGAGAACCAACAGATTCATTGTTGCCTGTAGATGAACGGCTGAAAAACATAGAACCAAAAATGGTTGAGCTCATTATGCATGAGATCATGGACCACGGGCCCCCGGTCAACTGGGATGACATCGCCGGAGTTGAGTTTGCTAAAGCTACTATAAAGGAAATAGTGGTCTGGCCTATGCTGAGGCCAGACATCTTCACTGGGTTGCGTGGTCCTCCTAAAGGAATTCTGCTCTTTGGCCCCCCTGGGACTGGCAAGACTCTCATAGGCAAGTGCATTGCATGCCAGTCTGGAGCAACTTTTTTTAGCATCAGTGCCTCTTCTTTGACTTCCAAATGGGTGGGTGAGGGGGAAAAGATGGTCCGTGCACTGTTTGCTGTGGCACGATGTCAACAGCCAGCAGTGATTTTCATCGATGAAATTGATTCTCTTCTGTCTCAGCGTGGGGAGGGGGAGCATGAGTCGTCGAGAAGAATAAAAACTGAATTTCTGATCCAGTTAGATGGGGCAACAACCTCCTCTGAAGATCGTATTCTAGTGGTCGGGGCAACAAATCGACCCCAAGAGATCGATGAAGCTGCCCGAAGGAGACTGGTAAAGAGACTGTACATCCCTCTTCCAGAGGCCTCAGCCAGGAAGCAGATTGTTACTCGTCTCATGTCCAAGGAGCACTGCTCCCTAAATGAAGAGGAAATTGAACTTATAGTTAAGAAATCCGATGGGTTTTCTGGGGCAGACATGACACAGCTCTGCCGGGAAGCGTCTCTGGGCCCCATCCGCAGTCTGCAGTCCATGGACATTGCAACCATCCTGCCAGAGCAAGTACGGCCCATCGCTTTCCTGGATTTTGAGAGTGCCTTCAGGACTGTGCGGCCCAGTGTCTCCTCCAAGGACCTGGAGCTCTATGAAACCTGGAACCAGACATTTGGCTGTGGTAGATGAACTGCATCCTAACTTACACAGGAACATTCCTTTAGTACTGCCACGTATTAAACGTGGTAATTTAGAGTTGTCTGCACTTCTTTTTGCTTCTGTCTGGGAATTAAACCTTCTTACATTATGCAGGCAGATGTCCAGGCTCTGGCCTGAGGTTTTGTCAGCTGAAAAGACCGTGAGGAACTACTGGTCACAAGATGAAAAATTGCTGAACACCGGTAACAGTGAGAAGCTGATAAAATTTACAGATAGCTGCTGTGAAAGATGGACAAATTTCACTGATGTTTAAGGGAAGGTGGTCAAACCTCACATATAATTGAAGGGAATACTGGGGGGAATCTTGCAAAGCCCACCATGTTGTATTGGAAGAGGATCCAAGTGATATCAGAAATAGCAATTTTGGGTAGAGATGTAGCAAAACTGAGATTAATGGGGAAAAGTAGTTAGAAACGCATTTTTTGGGAGGAGACAGGAGCAGAGGGAGAAAGGGCCAAGGTGGATGAGGATTTGCATGGAAAAATAAAAGGGGGAATAAAAGGGGAAAGTCTCTTGAGCAGTGCTGTTGTCAGCCTTGTGACACATCACTGCAGTCTATCCCAGCTTCTTATTAAAAACTTTTTTTGATGATCTTCTGCCTGACCATGCTTTCTGTGCTGTATCAGCATGTGCAGATGTGTTTTATCGGGAGGTCTGGACACCTGCAACTGGAGAAGAGGCCATGAATCATAGGAGCTTTAGGACCTGGGGCCAGCCCAGCGTGTGTATGACCAGGTGCTGTAGGGATCCCTGTGTGTGTGCAAACTTCACTAACAAAACTCACTGGCAAACTTGAGGCTGGACTAGCTGGCAAGTAGGAGGAAAACAGCATTTGGAAAGAGCCCAGGTATAAGCCAGTGGCAGGGCAAGGAGGCTTAGGATCTGGGAATGGGTATTTGATGAACTTAAATTCCAAAGGCTCCATGAGCATGGTGTCCTGAAACTGGAGAGTGGGGGGTTTGTGTCTCACACTGGTGAGCTTCGGTCCCGTTTGGCTGGAGATGAGGGACAGGATGGGGCTGTTGATGGATTTGTGTGAGTGCATTTGCTGCATGTGTGTGTATGTGTGTGCTCGTAAAGGCACTGCTTGCTCTGCACCCTTGTTTTCGTGTGTGTGTGTGTGCTCCCAAATGTTTGGATTAGGGGCTCAGCCTTGCTCCTGGTTGGACCCACAAGCAGAAACAACAGCAGCTGCATCCATCAAACTAAGATGGAAGATGCCTTACTCCAAGAGTTCTGGGTTCTAGTGATAAGGAAGGAGAAATCTTGTGTCCCAACATTGACTGAGTTCCACTGCTCCTTAAAAAATCTTGATACAACAATGGTAAAATTTCTGACTAGCTCGTATTTGGCATTTCTTACCTAAGGTATGAAAGAATGCATGGTATTTTGTTCACATAATCTGTCCTTGCCCACTGGCTGGACAGAGCTGCCCCTGAAGGGAAAATAAATGGAAAGCTTTCCTTTGGATTCGTTTGTTAGTGTGGCAGAGCTGGCTGTTGTGGTGTCCATGCTTCATTTTCAGTTCCTCTAAGGCACTTTTTCTCCTATTCGGGAAAAAGCAGAGCTTAAAAGCTAGTCTTACTTAGATTTTTCTGAAAATGGATAAATGCTGTTTAGCTAGCATTTTTTTAAAGCCATCTGGGAACTTCAGGGCCCAGGAGACTATAGTGAGCCTTGAATCTAGAATAATTTGGAAGACTTTGAATTTCTTAGAGCTCATCCTGATTTAAACACAAAAGTCAGTTTTATTCCTAGCTCATGTTTCTGGTAAAGTCTGGTATGTATTAGAAATCGTTTTGCAGAGATGTAAAAGTTTAGATATGGGAATTTATCTTCAGTTTTGAAATAGTGATTGTAGAATAATTAGATTATTTTGTAAGGATAAATGTGTGATGTGGTCCAAACTGATTGATTTTTGTGCCACTTGGGTAAAGATTATGAGATTAAGTCTGCTTTTACAAGTTCAATATTGGAGAGCTATAAACATCTATTAGGTGAGATTTTTGCACTCTCTCAATACTTCTTTAAAATCATTGCTCAGGCAAGTGAATGAAACACCAGAGAATTTTACTTGTTTAGTAAAACCTAAGGGTTGCTCCAGGGTAATAAATCCCTTATGTATGGATAAATAATTGCCTTATTTATGCTGGGAATTACTCTGGTATGCTATGTGAGCGTTCTGTGGTCATCTGTGTGTCTGAATATTCACATTTTAATAGAAATGTCTCTACAGAAGGACCAGTGAGAATGCACATGGTAATCGACAATAACATTCCCCCTAAGATGACTAGGACTGGGACAAAAGTGCTGTGCTGCTGTGTGAGTCTCCTGCAAAGTGGAACCTGTGAAAGAGATAAAAGGTAGAACCACAACACCAGACAAGAGTGTTCTTCCTCCTACTTCTTATGTTACTTATTACTTAGCCCTCTCTTGAATTACATGAACGTGCCTTTTTTTCTTTTTAGGAAACACATAGAAATAATGAAAGGATACGTTAGGTGAAGATTATTCTGTTTTAGTAATGATGCAGGTAATACAGCCATCTCTTCAGCCATGTAGCATTATTCAGGCTTTGCTGCAGGGCTCACGAGTCAGCAGGACTTCCAATGTTACCCCAATATGTGCTTCATAACCCGCTATAACAGAGCCACCACACAAGCCATTAGATTGCAGTAACATAATTTCCCAAAATATAGAAAATTGCACAGAAGTGGGGCATGATTGTAATTTAAGGGAAATGGTGCAGATAAATCTACCTTAATGGATCTGTTTAGTGTATGCAGAAACCTGTGTACTTCATTATTTATTCTTTTTGGCTGGCTGAACTTTGGAAGAAGAAATGCAAGACTCTCCTCTGGTTTTGTAGTTCGGCAGCACTTGATGCACAATCTCTTAGTTTCTTTTAAAGGTAAATAATTGCAGTCCTGGAAAAGTGAGGTCTCATTAATAAACAAAGCAATTCAGAATCTCCATTTTCTTAGTGCATCTTGTATTTGAGTTAGCTAAATTGTCTCAGAACAGTATGAAATCCCCAGGGGAATTTTCATTTACAGAAAACTGTGCCAACACAAGTAGGGGAAAAGCTGATGAGGCAGCAATGATCATCACCTGCTAAGGTGAGTGGATCAGACTGGCCTCAAAGAGCATCACTGAGATTGTCCTTTTGAAATAAGGCAGTTTCTTTCTAATAGGAATTATGGAACTACTCACAAGCCAACGTGCCATTGGAAAACAACCCACCAAATAAGCAAAAATGACTATTAAAGTGATAATTTTGCTGGCAGTGAGAGTTTGGTCTTAGTGAGCACTTAGATTAATTAGGACTTAAAAGATGCTTTGAACTGAAAGATACACAAGGAATGTTTGCACTTGTCTTCAAACTTATGAGTGGGCATTCCTTTGAAATTTAAATGAAAGGACAGACTTGGGAGAGTTTTGAAAGAAGGCTCCTGAATAGTTTTCATACCTAAAGAGGTACTCTGGCAGTCTAACCTTGGCTAACAGCCAGGTGCCCACCCAGCCCGTCAGTCACTCACTCCTCAGTGGCACACAGGGGAGAGATTAGGGTGAGAGGGCTTGTGGATTGAGGTAAAGACAGGGAGATCACTCACCAGTTACCACTGTGGGCAAAACTCACTCGGCATGGGGCAAATTAACTTATTGCCAATTAAAATACATTAAAACATTGAAACAATACCTTTGCTCCCTTTGTTTACTACCTCTGTTGTTTCAAACTCAACTTCGTTCCCAGCTCTTCTACCCTGGTACCACAGGGTGTAGGTGGGTGGGATGTTGCAGTCAGTTTCTCACTGCAGCTCCTTCCTCCTCATGTTTTTCTTCTGCACTGCTACAGGCACTCCGTATATTTAGGAATATCCATCTGCTCTGACATGGGCTGTCTCATGGGCTGCAGTGTAGATATCTGCTCCACCAGGGGTCTGTTGGAACCAGATGTGTCCAGTGCAGGGCAACCCCTGGCCTTTCTCCACAGAGGCCACCCCTGCAACCCTCCACTATCCAAACCCTCACATCCACTCCCAAAACAGATGCCTTCAGCAGAACAACTCACATAACTGCCATTCTTAGTGAAGATACTGACACAAAATTCCCAAAGTCTAGATTTCTTAGCCTTGCTTTTTAATATTTTATTACCATTCTTTATGTTATCTGCAGAAAAGCAATCATTTAAGGTGCTGTAACTATAAGCAGCTGTAGTACTAATAGGTCTCTAGTATTGTTTTTGTCCCATTAGGTCAGAAACATTATATAATCTTGGCTCATAGATGCGAAGCCAAAATAGCGTTATCACAGAGTTATGGGTCTGAAAAGGACTCCAAGAAATCATCAAATTCCCACTTCATCTAGGGTGAATTAGTTTTTGTGATTCCTGATGCATATTTTGCCTAATTTGTTCTTTAAAATCTGTTATTGAATGTTCATTGCCATACCATCACACTCGGGACTTGATGTATTCAGTATATGCAGCTATGCAAACAGAGTGTGGTAAATGTTTAATGTTAGCCATTAATAAAGTGGCTTTCTTGCCTGAATTCTTCTTTAGCAAGATGGAAGATGAGTAAAATTCTTCCCAGTGTCTCATCTTCGTTGCTGGGATGCAAAGGTTTCATGCCTTATCCTGTCCATATTGCTCACAGACACCGGGAAATATTTAATCATCCCCTTTGTAGCAGGTGCTTAGAGCAGGTGAGGTTTGTTGTCATTCATCATTACAATACTACCTGTGCTACAGAAATGTCCCTCTTCCACTCTCTTGGAGTGTCCTGTTGGTTAGACTTCTGATCACTTCTGTTCATTCTCTTTGGCACTGAGATGCCCTGAACAGGACAGTGCCTGTCAGTGATAACAGGTGAAACTGGAGCAGAGTAGGACTGAACATGAGTGTAGGGTGAAAGATACACGAACTGTTTATTGGGGCATGATGCTTTTGTTTTCATTTTATAGCTCATTGTCAGCAAAGTTTTTCTGTAGTTGCTGTGTTTTCCCATCTTTCCCAGCTTGGTTTCGACAGCAAAGTTATGCAGCGGAGGCTCCCTTTTCCATCACATAGTCGCTAATGAATACATTGTCACTGCTATAGGAAAGACCCATGTGAAATCTCTGATATACCTTGTTGTTTGTATCAGTTTTTTGAAAGCATCACAAACAGTTTATTAACGGGAGGTAGCTGTGCCAAAATTCCTCTTGACTTTGAGAACATTAGGTTGCTAAGGGCTATAAAAACCCATTCCCAAATTGTTTAGCAGCAGAAAATAGTGTCTTAGAGAGCTGTATTCCCTTGACTGCACAGATTTGTTCCTTGCAACTGGCAGCATAACTATCTGGATTTTATTTTCCCTCTGTTGCCCTAGAGTACTGCACTTTGATTGTGGTTTTACTAATGGTGTTACAATAATTTAATAATTTCTATTTTCAGAAAATATCACACAAGAACACTCACATCAGGTATGTCCTGTGTTCATGTTCCCATATTGCCAAAGTAGGTTACTTGTTCTAGAGAAATACTGGGTTGTTTTCTTGTGGAGAAGATAGAACAGCAAGAAAAAGGCAATATTGTTCTCTTCCTGA